ATATTTGTTATTTAACTCCGGGCGGACGCAAAACCATTCCAATAGCATAAAAATGTATGGAGCGTAGTGGAAAATCCAAGTTTTGTACTTCACCCTCTCAGCGTACCAGAATTATCGTCTCAGCAACCCTCGGAGTCCCTTCGCGGCGGACTTAGCGTCTACAATCAATCCTAGCTTTGCCAATAGGCCTGACTCGTCGAAACTAGATAACTCCGCCATCGCATATCGATCCAAGTAAGCTCCGGATTTAAAGTATAAAATTCACCAAGCGTCTGTAGGCACGAGACTATTGTTTGGGTTCAGTGGAACTCCCCACCCGGGCTACTGGCGAACTTCGGATATAAATACTCCGGAGAATCGCTATACTGTTTGTTTCAGGCCTCAAGATTTTGTTTGTTTTAGGTTTTCCTACGGGCTACCCGACGGCGTCTAACTTCTCCCCCTCCCTTCGAACTTAAATATTACCCTTCAATCGCCTTAGACCGCCTACACCCATACCGCTGGGTGTTTTAGGTTTTATTTCTTTTTGGTCTTTGGTGTTGTCGTGTGTTAGTGCCTATCAACGGATAGGCATATAGATAAGTAAGCTGCATGAGTCTATCCAGTATGCAAGGCTGCTGGAGTAGCTCGGTGTCAGATAGCTCATGGAATGTACACTTATCCCTTCCTATCCATAGATTGGACTGCCAGCCTAGCCAGAAATTGAATAGACATACGAGTTTGCCTATCTGTATCTATCCCATCGAAAGCTAGATTGCATGTCCAATGCTGGAATGGTCAATTGTATCGACAATCTTGCGCTGCATAGAATATCCCCCAGGCCAACACTCACTCCATATAAGGTGCAAGCCAACAATTACATGATGTCCCAATATATACATGTAGTAGCTAAATATGGTATTCCCGCTACCGACGCCTGTCTGGCGACCATCGCGTCAATTGTACCTACAACCGCCAATAATTGTGCGCAATATATTGACCTTGGTTCATATTATAGCCCTGATGCTAGAGGATACCTGTAGTGTTTGAACGGTATGCCGGAGTCAACAGGCACGGACACGGCAGCGTAGAGATATGTAGTGCGTGTCTTGATCAGTAAAAGTATGGGTTGGCATCCGGATCCTGATATACATCAACCCAGCCACAAGTTACCTGGCCCAGGCTCGGGGGGGGGCAGGGTTTTCTAGGTGGGTGCCGTGGGGGAACCATGGGACGAGGAGGTCGGAAGCTGTTGGTCTTGGGCATTTCTGCTGATATCGTGGCGAACTCGCAAGGGGTCGGTAGTCATCTTGATGCAAGTCTGTCACCCTAGATATATATACAGGTGTTACCTAGCTAATCGATGGCTAAGTCAGTGAGGTTGCATATCCAACATGAGATAGAAAGTGTAGCCAATGCACGGCGAGGATGTCCCAGGACGTGAAACCACAGACATCTGCCAGCCAGTGTGGGGCATGTCCGGGCCAGTTCAGGCTTTAGAAATAAGAGAGCCAGTGCAGAGCGGAAACCTCCATGACACCCGCTCGAAAGCCCTAAGAGATAGAGCCGGTCACATCAATACTTACCCCATCCAAGTTAAGTATCCACCCTCATGATTCTGGGCAAAAGTGAACATATGCACATAGAAACAGAGCCGTCGGGGGGAGGCAGCATGACAGCAATTACGTTCACAGCCACAGCCATGATGTTGCCGCAGATGTCAAGGTGCTCTTCTTGAGCTTGGAAGTGGCATCGCCACTGAAGGTGGAGGAGGAATGTCCACTAAACAGAGCAGCTTGATCAACAGCACAAGGCCAGCACAATAATATCAGCCCATGGCAGACTCCTCACTTAGACCTCCCTATGGACAAGCCAAACAATGTCTTCAGTGCGACCTGATCCACAGAGCACATCCAGAACGAGTGCTTGAACAGTGAGAGAAGAGTCGATGCAAGACCTTGGCGAATGTGTATTGACCGAGAATCACCTCGCTGCACCTGAAACGAACCATGTTGGCGTGCTTCCTGGTAGAACACGGGCCACTGCATGCCAGACAGAGAGGAGGTAGACATACACCGACCAAACAAAGGGTCACTGGGGAATCAAGCCTAATCTCAACATGTCAAAGGGAGCCTTTGACGGCAGGAGCTAGAAGAGTCTATTGGTCTAGGATCCTGGGCGAATGCAAGGACCCTGGTCCTGCGCAAAGCACTGGAGAGGAGCAGCCTTTATCCCTGCAGTGTGTCTGGTGTCTGGCATGAAGAAACGTTGTCCAGATGCCTCAGGGATGCAAATAAATCACAGTCAGTGCCTACAATCTACGTATTGAGTCTTCCTTGAATGAGTTCCTGATGGTCCTGTCCAGGGAAAGCAGTCATGATCTCGAGAAAAGCACGTAGTTCCAGAGCTGGTCCTGCCTGGCCCAAGGTGAGGTTGTCTGTTCAGCACTTCAGGCTTCAACACCAGATGGATAGTCCTCAAGTCAATCCGCCAAACTCGCGGATGTCTTCGAACCAGCCTGGTATGCCTTCCTGCCGCATGCTTGCAGGTATGATTCGAAATTGCGTCCTCGGCTGCCTGAGAAAGCCTGCGCAAGACCTGCTTGCTCCCCAGGATAACTGCAATGAATGACCAGGGAAACATCAATATATCAATGTTCTGATGAATTATGATAGACCTCCCCATGGATCCAGATGAGCCAAGCTGGTATGAGCATCACCTGTACGATCATGGTATCTAGCCTTCAGACATGGTATATTGATGGCAGGAGCCAGAATAGTCTATCGCTGGGCAACCGCGAGGGCACCCTATTCCAGGGTAAAGGGCCACAGAAGAAGGTCCTTCATCCCTCATCCTTGCGGGGTGTTCAGCGTCCCACATGTAGAGGCCTCAGACATGCGCATACACTATGGTCAGTACCTACAATTCTGTCAATGCATGCCACCAAGCCTTTCTTGAACTAAGGGCTGGTTCACAGTCAGTGACGGTCTTAACCAGCAGCGCTTGGCAGAAGCAAACACAGGGGGGTGTGGCCAGTACATCTCCACTTGCCAAATCCTCGAGGTAAATGTGTAGCTCCAGAGCTAGCCCTTGTACATCTGTAACAATCACTGCGTTTCCTGCAGATTATCCACCGGTCAAGACCCCTAAGATATTAGATCTAGTTTCATTATCCAGTAGACTGTCCTGTATAAGATACTTTGGATACCGGTCGGGAAACTGCACCAGTTGAGCCTTGCGATCCATCCTTAAGATACTCAGACTAGTTGATCTGTTCATTTCTATCTATGGTCCAGATATCTCCGATATGTTGTATATTGGCAAGTTCATTGTTCGATGTCAAAATTCAAGGCTCCGGATGGATCTGATGATGGACAAACTTGGTCAGTCCAACGAGATATGGCCACTTATTACTCTCAAAGAATTCCAGGGGACGTGCTGTCTGTTTGACAGCTTATTCCTTAGGCTGCTATTGTGCTGGCTGACTCTAAATGCCAGAGCGGCTCGGACCTTGCTTCAGGGAAGACCCAACGATGTGGACGAGCACTATCTTTGGTGTATCATAGATGCGCATCCTCATGGCTATCGGACAACGTAAGTATCTTCATAAAAAAGAATCACAGGAATAAAGGTGCACCTCTTCTACGTCCCTTTCGCTTGGTATAGGGCGCTCTGGCATTAGCGGAGGATTCTAGCCAGATCACCTTCCTCCAGGCCCCCGCTGTCGAATGTCCCACTCACGCACTAGGCCTGCGAAACTCTCGAGAACAGGTAGTACATTGTCTTGTGTTCCTCATGTGGTCACCATCTTACCAAGGTCCAAAATGACATCTGATATTCCGAAGGTTCACGCTGTGCCCACGCGGCTGTGCTACAATGTTTGCAGAAAGTTACCTCCGCGGGCGAATTTCCGACCGCCTTGACAGGCATCGATCGCGAAGCACTTCGTCCTTTGCAATTGCAAGATCCTCTGGTTTCCGGTTTTCCCCATCTGCACTCTCGAATCCACTGGAAGACCGTCAGTTGCGCGCCAGGTTTACCTAGTTCACACTTCGGGCCATCGTATGTATTCCGCAAGTATTCTGCCTTACATATTCACATCTAAGCTACGCGGCGATTGAACCAGAGCGGACATAGGACGGCCCATGTTAGCGGTAGGATTGCACGTCATTTCAGTTCTCTTCGAATACCTCAAAGCTATCTCTTACCTGCATATCTACTAGTAGTACCTCAAAGATTACTGCCCTATGATTCTGACCAGCATTGCTACAATGCTCGACCGCAATGGACTGCGCGCTCTGATTCGACGGAGGTAAATGGTAAAACGATTACGCCGGGTACAACGCCACGATGTCCCTTGTTCCGCCACGTGCCCGCGTACGTCCTAACCTTCGCTAAACCCTCCTGCGTGAGAGTGGTCTCTCTGTTACGTATGGCGCATTCCATCTGGACTCTGGAGGACTTTCGACTTGTCAAAAAAGTAGTGCTGCTGAGTCGGTACGAGCTAGATGTCGCTACTAGGACGAACGAGTCTACTGTCCATACCACGCCGGTGCTTTGCGGCAACTCCAAGCGCTTGTCTCGCACAAGCACAATAACGCGCGGTCCCTCATTTGTCGGAAGCTCACCTCATGAGGACCCTCGAGTTCGCCGTGGATTGTGTCATGGCAAATCTCAGTGACATAAGCGAAGCCGAGGAGAGTGAGCTCGAGCCGGTTGCCTCGTCCTCCTCCATGTCGTCCGGAGGAGTGATGAAGTCTGTGGCATGGACCCCTCTGACCATTGCCCAGTAATATGTCAACGATCATTCTAATGATTCTATAGCATATGGCATTTGCTTCCGTTTAGAGTCACCCCTCCCCGCGGGATGGAGCGAAAGTCCGAGCCGGTCGCGGGGTTGGTTTCTGCGTTGCAAATCGAGACCACCGGCGACCGCTGCGTACTTACCTGCCTTCTTCGCCCTTCTGAGTTCTTATACGCTTAACCCCGAAGAACCAGTAACTACTTTCCCACTAGCTCCTTGCCGTTCGTCTAAAGCATTGACGCACATTATGACCCCGCGAAATTCGCCCCGGTATCGATCGCATGGTAGCCAACAATATGCCGACGACTATGGGCGGAAACACAAACACAAACAGATTCTTGACTGTGGATTTGAGCAGCTCAATCAACATGTCTGACGGGAAAACGCCCTTGCCGCTCTCGTTCATCGTGATCGGTGGTAGCATCGCTGGGTTGGCGTGCGCGTACAGCCTGCACCGAGCTGGTCATGAAGTAACCGTGATCGAAAAGGCAAGCGGGCCCGAGTGGTTCAAGGTGCGTGGCAGGACTTTGTGGATCCTTGTATATCGCGCTGAAGGTCAATGTCGTGAGTAGAGTCGAAGAGGAGCCATCAGATCGCCTCCGAATATGACTCGGATTCTGAAGGAATGGGGCCTGCAAAGCTCACTAGAACAAATGGGAATCAAGAATGCCAGGATCAATTTTAGACAATGTTCGAGAGCTTAGATCTTCGTAAAAACGGCCATGCTGAATCTTATACAGGTGACACGGGCGAGAAAATAGGGACGATCATCTTTCATGACCAAATCATGAAAGCCTTCAGAGCGGATTACCTATTTCTCGAGGTTCTTCGTTCCTTTTCATTTGCAAATGGCATGCTCAAGGCTTCTCATCCTGCAGTACGGGAGACTCTGGTCATTGCTGCACGGCCTTGTTACCGAGGCGGGGGTCAATATCCGTTTCAAGTCGCTAGCAACGGCGGTGGATCCGCAAAAACCCACGGTTTCGATTGCGAATGGGGAAAGTTTGACCTGCGACATTGTTGTGGGTGCAGACGGGTACGAGAGCGTGGCCCGGCGATGTATACTAGGTGGTCAGACGAGAGGTACTGTGGATAAGAGGTGTAACTTTACGTATGTGTATGTTCGGTGTCCTCTTCACCTCTTTCTTTCCTCATGTCCGTAGATTAACAGTCCCCACGCGTGTCATGAAGACAGACGCGGATTTGAAATATTTTGCCGAAGCCCCGGAGGTGAGCTTTTGGATACCTTAATCTTTGTTCGGGTGCTAATATTTCCTGAAGTGGAATGCATGGCTAGGGAACGGGTCGTGTATACACGGACATCTTGGAGTAGGTCTTTCCACTGTAATCCAAAGCCAATCATCACTCACTGTCCGATTGCATAGTCTAATGACTGGTACACGCTATATCTTGTCATTCCTTCTGATGCCCCCCCGGACTTCCGGGAAAACTGGGACGGCGAATGCTCTCTGGATCAGCTCAAGCTAGATCTCGGGCAGTATGACAAAAGGTGCTACCATTGACCCTCTTCTCTTACGCTCCGCTGACGTTGCTGCATAGACTACACAAGCTGATGCAAATGGCAGAGACAGTTGTTCCTGTGAAATTCGTGTCCCACGAACCGTTCGAGAGCCTAGTCCACGAAAGCGGCAAGGTTCTCGTGGTCGGCGACGCCGCACATCCAATACCTGTAGGTTCCACTCTCGAGCCTTGCTTTCTCTGCTACTAATCCTTTCCGAAGCCTCACCGAGATCTCAACACTTCCAGCGCCGTCGAGGACGCAATGACCTTCGGCTCCATGTTCTCGCGCCTGACAGACCGAGACCAAATCGGGAGTCTAGTGACGGCTTTCGAGGACATCCGCCAGCCGCGCTCGGTCAAGGTCGTCAAGTCCGAGCACCACCGCCTCGACTTCCTCTCGCTGCCCTTTGGCCCGGAGCAGAAGGCCCGCGACGACGGTCTGCGCGCGGCGCTGGAGCTCGCGCAGCTGGACTGGGACAGCGCCGACGAGGATTACCTGCGGGAGACGTGGGAGGACTACATTGCCATGTTCAACTATGATGCGAGGGAGGTGGTTGACGATTGGTGGACGAAGTGGGGCCCTGTTATGCGTCGCGCGAGCGTGTCGCAGAAGCAGACGTAGAGCTTCCACTTGGCCTTTTGGGTTGTCTTCTGCTTTCGTGGTCTTTCAGACCTCACGACTATCGTTGTACATCATATAGACGTCTATGCGCCCCGGAGTTGCGCACGATGATATACGGGCTATACTCATATTCGCTAAGTGAAGCTAGCAGCGTTCTGCAATTAATGCATAGCACGGGGAACATCAAAGCTGCAGTGCGTAAGAATCAGGTAGAAAAAGCGCCGATGCAGCCTGCAATCGCAAGTGCCAGGTATATGTATCTCTTAGGGAAAATAGTTTGGCTTCCCAATGCAAAAGTATAACTCCACCGCCGAGGATATTTACAAGCATCCGAGATGAGTCCCAGCCAGGGTAGTGACAACATCATTGGTCGGGAATGGAAGGCAGTGTAATAAACGAGCAGTCTCGCGACAACGATACGGAGACGAGGGACCTCGCGTACGAGACCTGAATGGCGTCAGGGTGACTGGATTGAATGAGACATCCTTAAGCTTACAAATTCCAGCGTATAGTATACCGTGCAGCTGACAGACAAGGGTGTTCCAGTAGGACCAGTACCGAGCTCACCGGCATCGCGCACACCTAGGGGGTTTCATATACAGAACCAAGGACCATAACAGAAAGCACTATGCGTGAAGTAGTAATCTTGGGTCTGGACCTTCCTCTGGCACCGGTCGACCTATGATGCCACGCACCTAGGACACGAGCTTCGAAAGTAAACGTAAGGTCCCAGCAGGTAGAGTTGAGCAGGTTAGACACCGGAAACGTCGAGGTTGGTATTACCCTCTGTCCAGCTAGGTTAGCCTCCTCAATAGCTAGTAGGTAGGCAAGCAATCCTGTCTAAAGGGCTTGCCCATCACTAGGATATCTGAGTTATGGTTTGCAACATAGATGGTAGATTCGGATGACAAGCTACTCCAAGGGCAATTTGTAGCAATTACCACGTTTTTCTCGTCCACAATTAACAAGTAATACGCAGCTCGATTGCACAGAGACATGAAATAGAGAGCACCAGCAGCGAATACACTGTCATCGTCGCCGACTCGGACCAGGATCAAGCATCGTGTAAAGCCGGAAGCCACTACGCCCACTATTTGCCCATATTTGGCGCGAAAACGCTCGCCTTCCGTCCTCCTCACCACCGAGTTCTCTGCTAGACAGTCGCTCGACTACCATGGCGTCCAGAATCGCCATCAATTCGCTGAGGGCATCCGGTGCGTGCTGCTTGATTTCTTGGTATGAAGGCAGGGTTGAACGGGAGGAGCAGCCTCGAAGGTGCGACCGCAAGCGGTCGCTGCTGCCCGCGTCATGCAAGCGTGCGTTCTCTGTTCCTGGCATTTACTTTCTGCATATCGGTCCTGATTATTCCTTGTAATTTGAATGTGAATTGGACATGGACGTGGACAATGCAGGCGAACGATGGCGAGCGGCTCGAACCCCCCTCCCCCCGCCGAGCGCGCGTCCGAGATCATCAACAACATGCCCTCCTCGCCGAACCTGATCACCAAGACGGGCACGATCGTCCTCGGAACGGGTGCGCTCGCCGCGGCCATCTCGCAGGAGCTGTATGTGATGAACGAGGAGACGGTCATCGCCGCCGGCTTCCTCATCATGCTCACGTTCATCGCCAAGGTGCGTTTTACTCTCCCGGGTACAGAGCAAATGGGCCTGGAGGGGGATAGAGCTGGGGTGCTGACCGGGCTGGTTGTTCGTTTGCAGAACATCCGCGGCCCGTACGTTGACTGGGCCGAGGGCCACATCGCGCGCATCCGCGGCATCCTCGAGGGTGCGCGTGCTGAGCACACGCAGGCCGTCAAGGACCGCATCTCCTCCGTCGAGCAGATGAAGGACGTCGTCTCCATCACACAGAGCCTCTTCGCCATCTCCAAGGTGCGTCTCCCTCCCCCTCCTTTCTCACCTAACCCCAATTCCCCTCCCCGCAGGAAACCGCGCAGCTCGAGGCGGAGACGTTCGTGCAGCAACAAAAGGTGCTCCTCGCCGCGGAGGCGAAGGCCGTGCTCGACAGTTGGGTGCGCTTCGAGCAGCAGCAGAAGGAGAACGAGCAGGCGGAGCTCGCGCGCGCGGTCATCGACCGCGTGATGAAGAGCCTCTCGGATGAGAAGACCCAGCGGGAGATATTGGCGAACGCTATCCAGGAGGTTGAACGTACGTCTGTCTCACTATTGCTAGTGTGTAGTGTGTCTTGCTGAGTGGTTGTTCGCAGAATTGGTTAAAGCGAAGGCCGTATAGAGTATCTATACTATTGTTGGTCATGGCTTAATTTGACTTTGTTGAGTCTCTGGACGGTCTTGATTGATGGCCTGATTGATCAAGCACGGAAAACCCACTGCTGCGAGACAACAATCGACATTCGAAAATATTAAGAACATGGTACATATTCGTACAAGATCGATAACCCATGCACCTCCTCAACCAGCACTAATCTTACATGGTATACCAACTGACGTATGATACAGACACTGCAAACATGTAGAATCAGAAGAAAGCTGGCAGAACGTGGCACCCAGGGGAGTGCGGGCGGTCCAGCTCCGCCACCGTCACGGTTTGCCTGGAACACATCCCAAGTCAATGCCTTCCCCACCAATGCAAGCTAATCCTAGTGTGACTCACGATCGTTGCACGCGCCTCGGACTCGGTGCGCCCTCCTCGACCTTCTTATCTTTCCCCTTAGCGCTGGTATTACTAGCCACGGATCCCCTTCTCCTCCACGACAGCCCCCGTGCCAGGGTTGATGTCGCGTTCATGCCTGCGCTCATCATGAGTTACGGCGACCTGGTGTGTTGCTCAAAGACGACTTGCCTTTCGTCGGACTGGGGTCCGTCTGAGCGCGCCCCTTGCCCATGCGCGTCTGTGGCACGACGGGGGACGAGAGCGTGCGCGGCTCATGGTGCACTAGCGGGGACGACATTGTGCTCGTGAGGTGGTGACAGCAAAGAGGAATGTTGAGAGACCTGAACGCTGCCTATGGCGGTGTATATACTGCACTAGCCCCGAGGCGAAGGCGCTTGGGTGATCGAAATCATAGATGACGTGCGCACGTGTTTGGGTTGGCGAATAGAGTATGGAAGGTGGTGGACCGTGGGGTATCCGAGTGGAGAGTTTAGTTGATCATGATCAACAAAGGGGGTTTAGTTCCGGTGATCAGCTAGTGAATGGCGTTGTGGCGGGCACGATGGACAGCCAAGTCCAACTGTTTTCGACAACCAGACCGAGAATAGGAGAACATACCTACAACGCAGGAGTTCACGTCGGATGAATGGGACTCTCAGCCAAGTACTGCAGATGCCATCCAGAATCTTCCATCACTCCGTCATCTGAAGCATAAAGGACGCTATTCAGTTCGAGTTCATTCTGACATGCCTATAAATACAAGTGGAGTGATTTATGATACAACTGGAACGGACACGATAAACCAGTCAGTCCGACTGCCATTCCGCTCGACCATACAGGAAATCAGCGACTCCTCACCTAAATGCGTCTGAATACACCGCACGCGCTCAAGCGCCCCGGGACTGAGGCGTCACGGTACTCGTCTGACCTCCTACGGAACCGAGCTCATCCCGTAGGTCGTCCAATGCAGCACCTGAAATCGGAACGAGAGAGGCCTTCATTATATCTGCTTTTGAACGGTAGCAAAGAATATCACGTACCTCGACTGATCCCGGTCTGCGTCGCCTTCGCAGACGCTTCCGTGGGCCAGCCCGCCGGCAATTGTTCACCCCCATAGGCAGCAGCCCGTCGCTCGCCCGAGATCGACTGCGCGTTCATCTGTGACGACGGGTCCAATGTGGCACCTACGCCCAGCAGCAGGCTCAACGCTCTCCCTGCAACTCTCGAGCACTACATGTACGTACCTGAGTTAAACCTCGCCTCCATACTCGGGTTCTCCCCGTTCTCTCCCGTCTCCCGCCCAAAGCCCACGCCCACCGGGCGCTCCTGCAACGACCCCGGCGCGCGCGAGACGCTCTCCGTCTGGTCGGGCCCGAACGAGGAGAAGGAGGAGGACTCCTTCAGGTTCGCGTTCATGCTGCCGACTTGCGATTCCGTTGGTTCAGACATACCGGTGTTAGGCTGGAAATTGTTCGTCGGGGTGGGTTTATATACGCCATCCTGGCTGGCGCTGCTCCTGAATGCACTTCAGGGCGAGTCTGGTGGAGTCTGGGTGGGCGTGATCTCGGGTATGATATCACATTTCGTCCTAGTCCATGAGGCGTGGGAACGTCAGACCGTCTAGTGAGATCTGAAATCTGACTACATTGTGTAACGGTCTGAGGACTCAGAGCGTTCCAGGTGACTTGCCGTGCCACGAGACAGAGAAATATTCCTTGAATTGCTGGTCTACTCCGAGAAGTTTAGAACAAGCACCTAAACTGATCGTACAAATCTATGAATGAAAAGGAGGAAGGAAACAAAAAGATGCGGAGCAACTGTAAGTAGAAAAGGAAAGCGACACTGCAGAGAAAGCATTGCGCGAGAAGCAGAGCGGATAGGTACACGGGAAGCGCAAGAGGGGAAGACCAAAGACGACACTTGTAAAAAGACAGGGGAATGGAAGCGGGTTGTGCGGATGATGATGGGATTGCGGCTCCGGTGGGGGGATGGGTGGGTAGACTTTTGGAGTGGTAGTGGTAAACGATACAGGCCCGAAGCTGAGATATGCAGAGATGAAGAGAGGTCCAGTGTGAATGCGAGCGTGAATGGAAGCGCCGGCTGAAATGCTGAAAGGACAGTGGAGATGAGCAGATATGACCCAATTGGCAATGGCAAAATAAGGAGTGACAGAAGTTGGTCCGCAAGTGAGAGAGAGAGGCAAGAAGGCGTGAATGAGTGTCGGCGTAAAGCGTGAATGAGCGTTGTCCATCACGAAGCGAAGCACGAGAACGAAAGGGGTGGTATCTGAAGAACAAAACAAAGTCCGGTGTCGCAGCGGCGGTGAAGAAAGCAAAGGAATAAGCACTGAACCACGAAACGCGAAAACAAAAGCAAAGAATACTCTGGAAAGACCCGTGCCAAACACGAACACAAACGCAACCCCCTCCAACACAGCAACGAGGGGCCGACGAACGAAACACCTCTCTAACCACCCCACATACCGGACCGCGCGGGCTCGTCACTGCCCAGGGGACACCTTCCCGCTCCCGCCCCTGCTCACAGCGCCGCCCGCCCACGCCTCCTCGCCCGGCCTCCGCCCCATCCCGCGCGCGCCCAGGCCGCTCCCGCTCCGCGGCCGCCCGTGCCCCGCAAAGTCCCCGCCGAGCGCGTACCCGAGCGGCGCCGAGTCGCTCCGCGCGCGCGCGAGCCTCTTCGCCCCGCCCGCGCCCGCGCCCGCGCCCAGGACCTCGTGGTGCTGCCCCGCGACGCGCTGGCGCTTCGACGACCCGGGCCGCCCGCCGCCGTCGTCGAGCTGCGGCGACGGCGAGTCGTAGCGCATGCCGTCGTACGCGTGCGCGAAGCCGTGCACGTGTGCGGGGAACTCGCCCGCCGTCGGGCTCGAGCCCGGGCTCACGCTGTGCAGCGAGTGCAGCGAGGGGTGGTGCTGCAGCGCGGGCAGGCTGAAGGAGGAGGAGGGCGTGGGCGTCGGGTAGTTGTGTTGCTGGCTGGTGGTCGCGCTGGCGGGCTGCGTGACGTAGATGTTGGGGCTGTTGCCGGCGGTGTCGCTTGGTGAGAGCGGTTCTAGTAGGTCGGAGGGGAAGGGGAAGGGCAGTTGCACTGTGGTGTTCATAGCATGTCAGAGATCATTTAAGTTGAGAAAATCGAAAAGGTGAATGGGAGAACAATGATTTTAGGAAATCCTCGAGCGACAGCCGCCGCGCGCATGCGTATAGCCCACAGATCCACTAGATGCGGGTAGAAGGAACTCGTGCAGGGAAGCCAGGCGCGCACAAGAAGTCCTCACGCAGGCGCGTGGACGGGACCCGCGCGCCCTGCGCATATAATCCACCAATCCGCGGAATCCGAGGAACACCAGCTCCCCACCGGGCACAACCACGCCGCCCTCCCTCCCCTTCCCCCGCTCCGCGCACCAAAACCAAACCAAACCAAACCAAACCAAACCAAACCAAACCAAACCACTCACCTCCCCCCTTCCCCACCGCCTCCCACAGCGCGCCCACCACGCCCCCCAGGCGCTCACACCGCCGCCGCACCTCCTCCAGCTCGCGCTCCGTCCTCCTATGCTCCTCGCGCATCTGGCCGAGCTGCGCGGCGACCTCGCCCGGGAGCTCGACGCGGTGCTTCACGCCGGGGTCCGGTTCCAGGGCCTTGCGTTTGATCTCGTCGAGCAGGTCGGGCCGGCCGCGCAGGAATTTGTGGTGCGAGAATTCCCAGGTCTGGGCGTCGGTGGAGGTGCGCTGGGCGCGCGGGGTCTGGGGGGGGCAAGTGTTAGGGATGGGATTGGGATGTGGATGTGGGGTTGAGATGGGGAAGGAGGGAAGGAGGGAAGGAGGATGCGCACCCTGTTGATTTTGTGGAACCCGTACATGTTCAGCTGCCGCACGAAGCTGGAGAACTAGACGCGGGGGGGCAGGTCAATAAAGACGCGAGTCTGTGCAAATGTGCGGAAGGGGTCCTGACGTTGTTGTGCTTGAAGTGCGAGCCGAGGATGCTCCGGCTGAATTCGCCCACATTGGACACGACGAAGCTAGTAGATAAAGGACACAGCGCGGGCGCGTCTCAGGACACCGGAGCAGACAAAGAACGAAGGGGCGACGCGCACCTGGTGCCCAGCTCCGTCCACGCGATGAACTGCGCCGACTTGGGGTCGTTGATCATCCTACACACACCGTCTCCATCTGCACTCCACGCGCCTCACACAAAAACAATCACTCACTGGTAGAGCTTCGTCACGAAATTATTCGTGCCGGCGGGTTTTCCGAGGATATTGATCGCGCCGGGGGGGATGCACCCGTACTGGCCGCCCTTCTCGGGGGCGTCCGCGAGCGCGGGCTTGTCGTCCATCTCGCCGCTGCTGGTGCTGCCGTCGTCGTAGTCCATCGGCTGCTGCTGGTGCTGGTGCTGGTGGTGCTGCGCCTCCTCGAGGCTCGTCGCGAGCGGGGTGGTGCTGAAGGAGCGCTTGCGCGGGACGCTCTTGTCCGAGCACGAGGAGGAGCGCGAGGAGCTGGGCACGTACTGCGGCTGGTGGAGCGCGGGCTCGTCGTAGGGCGGCGCGTTGAAGGAGAAGTGGTGGGCGTGCGGGTGCGGGTGCTGGTGCGGGTGTGGGATGTGCGGGTGGGCGAAGGCGGGGTGGGCGTGCGGCGGGGTGATGGGGGTGATGGGGGACATGGTGGAGGACGTGGAGGGGTGCGGGGACGGGTGGATCGGGGAGATGTTCGTGGGCGAGGCGACGCTCAGCCCGGAGAGGTTCAGCGAGAGCGCGGCGCCGTCGTGCTGGTGCGCGTGCGGGTGCGGGTGCTGCGGGTAGTAGGGCGGGTAGTCGGAGGGGCTGGGCGAGACGGGCGAGGGGAACGTCGAGCTCGACAGCGTCTGCGGGACTTGGAGATGCAGCTGCGGCTGGTGGTGCTGGCCCCATTGCTGTTGCTGCTGCTGCTGTTGTTGTTGGCCAGGCTGCTGAGCTTGCGGCGGCGGCTGGGGCGGGGGCGCGTACCGCCCGTCCGTGGTGTAGTGCGGATCCATCGCGAGCGGGTCGGGGTCCGGGTCTTCTGGAAGCGCTGGGTGGAAGGAAGAAGTGTACTCGTCAAGTCGAGCGGTTGGGCGGGGGTAAGACGCGGGTAGTGCACTGGCCGCAAACCACAGAGACGACCGTGACGCGTTGTACGCACGAGCTACGAGAGACGCCTCGCGTGAGCCACACCGCTGAGCGCAGAGCACGTTTTGTCAAGAGGGCATTAAACGAGCGCCGAAAGAGCGTGGCGGGCCTCCAGCAGACAAACAAACGAGGGTTATACTCGGCGCGAAATACGGATACGCGGGGCCGTGACGGTATCGCGGACAACAGCACAGCAGGCGCGGAAAATACGGGGGGATGTGCAGGCGTCTGTCGTCCAGCGCCCGGCTGCTGTAGCCACCCGGCGCGCTGGGTCCATCGAGATCTCCCACCGTCGCCCTGTTTGGCAGTCACCTCCTGTCTTCTGCGATACGTACGCGCCCGCGTGCCCGTGCACTCCGAGTCCCCTCTCGTGCGCGCTGCATCAGCATCTCCCTCCACTTGGCAGAGCCCTTCCGTCCCCGGCACAAATTTCCTCGCCGGCCACTAAACGTGACACCCATCACATCACTCGCGCTTTTGCCTTTCCTTTGCCGCCCCCTTGGCTCCCGCTCCCCGTACGCGTACTGACATCTCGGGAACGCCACTGACAGACATGGACAGCCCGCGAGCTAGCTGCCTAGTCGTAGATTCCCAGATTCCCCAGATGTCCTTTAGCCTCGCGCGCGCGGGACGGGACGCAGACGTGGTGATGCCGTTATCTGCAGTTGTCCCCTCGTGGCGCCGCGGACCCGTGATGCCCCCGCTCGGGCGTTCCTCACAGCCTGCCGTGCGCCCTTTAAATTCGTGCTTGCCTTGGAAGCACCCGCATCATCGGGGCATCTGATCGCGATCCCCTGATTGGACTGGATATCCTCGTGCCCCCTCCTCGCAAGGCCCTCACTGGTATCCTGAATGCAATGCTCTGCAGCTGAGATGTACTTGAAGAGGCATCGTTCCGCGAGCACTCCCCTTCAAGCTCATCGTCACGTCTCTCCATCCACCTCTGAGAGTTTGATCTGATCACACTCATCTAGTGGCCCCGCCCCAGACTTCAGATCACGATCAAGCTGAAGAAGGCGGTGTCTCATCTGCCGACTAGGGTGCGGTGAATAAGTCGTCAGGACATTGTAACATATGTTAATAACATGGCGCGCTCCGAAGCCCTTTTTAACAGGGTTATTAACAGTTAATAACATTTAGTTTGAAACGGGTTAATTACATGTTAAAAAGACATATCAACATTGTTAAAAACACTTTTGCAGTTTAAAATGCCTGGTAGGCCTCCACTGCACTCTCCGGGAGCTATTTGACGTGCACTTTGCAAGCTGAAGTACATTAGGGGGTCTTTGCAACATGATGTCCCAGTGATATTTGACTTACGGGTACGGTCCTCTACCGGTGCATGGTGGATTCCAGGCTGCCGATAGGGGGGGTTTTTAACACCCAAATTGGCCTTGCCTAGAGGGGTCTGTTAATAACATGTTATTAACCTGTTATTAACAGCAGTCTATAACAGTGTAAATAATGAGCGACTTTTACACCGCACCCTACTGCCGACGTCCACTGCCTCCGGACAGATATACTTACTTTTACATCACATCTGCGACGACCTCGACACTACTGGCGGGATGTACGTTTGTCGATGTCGGCATCACCCCAACCTGGCTGGGGACTGATGCGCGCGCTATCATATCTAGCCGATTGCGATTGCAAATCCCCGGCTCTCGCTGTCGCATTTTGTATGTGTTTTCTGTTGCAAGGCCAGCCCCCCTGCTTCCCATTTCGCCGAGTCCCCATTGGAAGGCCGGCAACTGCGCGCTGCCAGCGTTTACGGCGTCGCAAACTTGTGCGCTCCCCCCCCCCCCGCCACCACCACCACCACGACGCGGTGAAATAGGATTATTCTTATTGGCGTCCTCATTGAACACAACACCGCAGCTCTCCGACAGGACAACCAACCGTCCCAGCAGCTGCGGTCTGATTTATATACTCCGCGCCCTCGCCCATGTATCATCCGGGGTGATGCAGACGCATGATCGCCCTGCAGCTGGCTACGCACACGGATGTCCTGGCAGAGGAGAAGAGAGGACCGTGCGCACCGGACCTCCGCCCGAGCTGACCAAAATTCCTGTCACTCAGCAGAACGGGACCGACTTGACTTGTCTGTCCAAACACCACGAGCATCATCCCCACGACCAACTCCCCCCCCCGCCAGAACGCGAAGGTTCGCAGGAACCCAAACGTCGCGATCCACGGCTATCACCCGCTCGCACGCCCGGGCTCTCCTTCGAGTTATGGTATGATGCCCACTCTTGCCTACTCTCGCTATGAATAGTTGTCATCACTGATCTGAATCCTACAGGCGAATCCGAATCACCTGCATCAATCCCTGGATCGCGGCAACCACAGTCCGCATCGCCGGCCAAGGCCCCATGGCCAGCTCGCCGTACCCAGGCACCGTGACACTACGTCCGTCCCAAGTGTGCCAGCGGTTCTCGTTCAGGGTGTCAGGTCGGTACGTAGTCTGTTTGGATGCTAATAGGAGAGCGCTGATCGGCGGGTGGGGCGTGTATAGACTATGCAGGTCGGTCTGTCGCGCGGCTGGTGGGCGACGTAGTGCCAGTATCCCGCTGGAAGGCGACATAGTGCCAGTGTCCCGCTGGAAGGCGATGCCATAGGTCCGCCCCGCACCCTCGCGGCTGTGATCACGCCTGTATGCGAGTCTGCCCCTCCGCGACGACCCTGGCCCAGGTCCTTCGTGCACAAGTCTTTCTCCGGATTCCTGCAGCACCCAGCATCATGATCGCGCACTTGCAGGTTCCCCCGTCCGGTCCGTCGTACCTACATCTACCGTCGGCGATCACAGTTGGGCCGATCGATGCGTAGGCGGACGGGTTATCCGGTGCGCGACTCGACTCGGATTGGCTGTGCCAGTGTGTCTGTCGGATCGATATGGGCTTCGGCTTGGGTTGTGGACGCCTGGCGCTACGCCTCCTACCGTCTGAATCTCCCCGCACAGTCGGGTTGGTCCAGGCGCGGTGTCGTGTCGCGGGGCAGACCGAGATGGACACCACAAAGTCTGTCGACGCGCTGCCGCGCATCCGCGTCCGGGTCCGGGACGTCACGCACCGTGAACTCACCTGCCACCTATACCTCCCCGCTGTCCTCCTCGTCCCGGCGTCTGTACAAAAATACGCCGTGCGAGTATGTACTCATGCTGCATGTATGTATGTATGCGTCCTTTCTATATTTGCGTGAAGATGAAACCTAATTATAAACACGGTATAACCCAGCGGTGACTTCCCGGCGTCGGTGTACTCTCCGAGTCCCGCAGAGCGGATGAGCATTCGCGCGCCGCTCTGGGGCCGCTAGCCCCGACGAATAAGGTGGGGAGGGGGCCGGGGGCCAGGCAGCTGAGTTGGTCGCCTAATCTCGACATGTAAATATACGCTCCATGCTGCGGTATGGCCCGCCCATGATCAGCCTGTAGACTCGTCATTCACACTGGTGTCTGGTGGTAACGTCGCCATATTAGTGGGTCATGCATGATGCGATTCTATCCAGTGCGCTGGATACTGTGCAGTCAGCACGTATTCATCCGAGTTATTCCTTCCGCCGGTATAAAATAAGTGCGAACAGGCATGATAAGCTATCACGCACAGTCCGTATCCCAAAAAACCGTGACACTTGATTCGGAGATGGATATATATACAGTGATGGCCGATCCGACGAGCATGGGCAAAGCAAGTACACGAGCAAGCAACACAGAAAGAGAAATCAAACAGCAGCGAAGCAGCTAGCTGCTATCGGTCGTCCCGCGGGGGAGGCGACGGCGATGGCGGGCGGGGGTGGCTCCCAGCATGCCCGTTGCTAGTGTGCTGGGCCCGATAGGCGCCGTTCGCATACGGCGCGTCGGGAGCGGGCGCGGGCGCGAAGTACTGCAGAGGCGGCGCGAAGTCGGATGGGGTCTCCGGGGAGGGCGCGGGCGGGCCGTAGATGGGCTCGTTGTAGAACCGCTCGAGGACGGGCTCGGAGGGGAGGGCGATGGACATTGCGTCTAGGAGTAGGCTGTGTGTGGAGGAGCGGTTGGGATGGGGTGGGTAAGGAAGGGGAAGGGAGGGCGTACTTACTCCATCTCTGCTTGGAGGGCTTTCATTTTGGCGTTTGCCCGCTCGAGGTCTTGTTGGTAGTGCTCATTCGTCTATCAAAGGCGCGGTCGAATCAGGATATGCAGTGTATGGGATGTCCATTGCGACCACTTACAGCAGTGACCTGGTCATACTTCTCCCTTAACTGGTGGAACCTGCGTTCCCCTGCCCATCAGCACCCGCCTTGAACACGCGGGACCGTATTACTCACTTTTCCTTGTACCACTTCCCCTTGTTCGCTGCCTAACAAGTGTGTTAGATTGGGAGTGCCGAATAGAACCTCGCGGTGCTCGCCTTCGCCTTCTCGTACTCGTACCGCTCCCTATCGCCCGGCCGCGTGAACTTGTTGCCCGAATCTCGACGAATGGGTGCTGGGCGGATGGGCACTGCTGCGAGGGCTGCTGCGTTGGAGGTCGATGGATCCATATAGTGTATGTGCGAGATGCAGCGAGCAACTAAGTACTTGAATCGGAGTTTCTACAGTTCGCGTCGTAATTTCAGGCGCGTCCTGCTCTTGACCGTGACCTCGATCATCCCATAAATCGGCTGGCATCTCTCTGGCTGAAGCTGATGGCATTGTTCTCTGGTAAAGGTGGCCTTGTTCTCCCTAGCTGCTCCGAAGGCGCACTTACTTGACTCTCCTAAAGCCTGCTTTAGCCCCACCGTCCCTACCACCATCCAACGCGCTTGGGGTGAGCTCAACCAAGCTCCCGCCGAAGTAATCTCCTTGATATTTAGTACGACTGGGACGACCGTGGTGATACAGTCAAGTACGGCGGCGATATAGCGCGCACCAAGGAAGACAGGCGCAAAGCGTCCTGGTTCTTCTGCAGTGGTCCGGACGACCCATGGGTGCCCATGTATGCGCCATTTTTGCCCACCCATTGCTCGGTCTTATATGAACCGTAGCCTCACGCAGCAGGCGATTGTCGTGCGTAGCCCAAGGCAGTCCGCTCGATTTGTATTTCTCTATTTCTCTATCGCACTTCACAGGTATTCCACGCATCCTGGATCACCAATACGGTGAAGGAGAACTTCGCTGTTGCACTCGGAAAATACGTTCTAGATGGTTTGTTTTCCTCACAAGCATGATCTTTTCTACCTAGTATGCCATTGCAGATCGCTTCGAAGAGCTCAACCAGGAGGCGGCTCTGGACCACTGTCACTCCGTGCTGCCTGTTACCAATAAGCTGCCTACGCCTGTCTCTTCTGACTATGACTACCGGACGACTCACGCGACGAGTGACGCGGATACCGCTTCTCCCAGCATGAGCTGTGCTCGCGGATTTGCCTTGAAACGCAAGGTACAATACGACAACTATGGAGAGGTCACTCCTGGACCCGTGAAGTGTTTTCGTCTGGCGAGTTCTGGCGACATCGTGTCTGGCGATCTCAGCAACACTCGGAAGTATCTCTCGCGCTCAGATAAAAACAGCGACGTCCAGTCTACCCCTGTGCAATCTGATGACTCCAATAGTTCTCGTGGCTCTCCGGATCTAAACTCTACAAGGCCCCAGACTGCTATGCGCCCAAGGCCTGCTGTTCGAATTGTCGACCTCTCCCGCTCGCAGGTTCCGGTCCAGGAAAGGGCAAGGGCGCAACCGCAAGGAAACGAGCTCTTCAAGCGCCTCTATGGGACACAAGCTTCGTCTTCACGTCCGGTCCCTTTCAATGCGCCAAAGAGAAACCTCGAGGCGCCCCTCAAACCCAAGTCGTCCTCGTACGTCTTTCTCTACCCCAGAGAACGCCTGCTAAGCTCTGACCTGCAAGGCCCAGGGTGTCTGAGAGGTTCTGGGACACCCTCCGAGTTACGCCTTCTTCCCCGGACTTTCCTATCAAGATGTCGATGGAGGACGCGCTGGCTGCGCTGCGGGAAAGCAAGATACGGACGGACGATGTGGTAGTCTTCGCCGCGGGGGAGAGGTTCCGCGGGAAAGAGTTTGCATGTCTTGATGTTGGGTCGTCGAGGCGGCAGACGTTCTGAGGGTTTTCTGTTGTACGAAACCTTACTCGCTGCAAGTTTGGCAGGGTGCGCTCTCCAAATTTCCTGCATTCCTTGTACGTTGTATGCGTGTACAGGGCAAACGTACTTTTATAAGAAATCGTTGGCCAACTCATCCGTGTTTCCCGTTTCCCTTTCTTGACGGTGAAGCCACAAATTGCATTCCTCATTTCCCAGGAAATGCGGCCTTGAGGGCGTTCGACGGTAAGGTTGGGGTTCCACTGCCACAAAAAACGTTATGAGATGCATATCCTTGCAACTTCCTCAGTGAGGGGTCTTCTCAATGGTGAATTTAATGTACACAATAGACAGATACTCTGTACGGTTCCTCACCCATTTAGCCCTCACTTCGTCCGAGCTTATCAAGCGCTCGGGCGCCTTGCTCGTACCACTCGTCCCGGGATATCCAGAACTCCTGGCGATTCTTCATGATGTCCGCCAATACCGCGCCACCTAAGAATACCATGTGTTTCCTGCGCGGCGGGTCCTCAATCCGGATTTTGAATTTCTGCAGAGTTAAAGCCAGTTATGATCCCTGGCATATACAAGTGTCAGGATGGGGGGCACGTACGTTCAGTCGCGTTGGGTCGCCATTAAGGACACGAGTGAGGTATAGTTGCTTCATTTCCTTCTCCAGGCGACTTGGCAGCCCCGGGTACATGCTCGAGCCGCCGGACAGCACTATATGCTTGTATAACTCAGCCCGGACATCTACGGCTGCATTCTGGATGGTCTGGAAAAGCATCTCTGGACATGATCGGTTAGACCGTTCCAGGGCTGATGAAGTGGAAGACGCAGTAATCTCACCTGCGACACCTGGCTGTTCCACGTCGACGAGATGTGGCTGGAACATGCATTCGGGGGCTTCGAAGCGCTCCGACCCTACCTTGATAGTCCGGCCATCTGGCAGCTTTATTGCAGACTGTTTCAGCGCCTTATTCGCGGTAGATACCACAGGGTATTCATACCGTGTAGCTCTCAACCAGGACGGTTGTCTCTTCTGATAACCGCGTGTCCATGTCTAGATCGTAGCTACCAGCGATGATAAAGAATTGACATAGGCCGCATAAAGAGCTCTAACTTACCTGACGTAGCATAGCTTCTCCTTGATCTCTCGCACCGTCTCAAAGTCCGCAGTTCGGTTGAAAGCGTAGCCGCGCATGAGCAGTAACTTGATCAGGTATCGAGTGACATCCCGTCCAGCGATGTCGAGCCGACGCGTCAAGTGTGGTAACGCAAAGCCATCGTAGACAGGGACAATATGCGTCACACCGTCTCCCGAGTCCACCACAACACCCGTTGTCAAGCCTGCGCTAGTCCCATGAATATCCGTTCATCACCGTCACATATTCATATGGCAAAGACGGACCTTGTGCGTAGAGCGTCAACACCGCCTGGATCGCCACGTACACCCCGTCGAACCCGTACTCCTCAAACATGACCTGACACATCCTCTGTCGGTTGGCCTTCGGGTTCATAGGCGGCTCCGTCAGGAGCACCTTCCTGCCCCGCGGGTCCACGTGCAGCTTCTCGTAGAACGTGTAGTTCCACAACAGTCTCATGTCCTCCCAGTTGCGCACGATACCGTGCTCCATCGGCTGGGACATTTGCAGGTAGTTGCGGTTCTCCGCGGCCTCGTCGCCGATCATGACATCCTTGATCACTGACGAGCCGACGCGTTCCTCCGCTCGTAGGATGGGCCGACCGATGACGGAGGGGAATACTGAAGTAGGTTTTGAGCATTGCGTGTCGATTATGCGATAAAGAGGCCGTTACCATGTTCAGGGAAGTTAGACCCGGCGTATCCTACTTTCACGAACTGAGCCAACGCGTTAATGAGGATCCTTGATAGCATATAAGTATCTTACCCCCGTTCCATTGTCAACTACGAGTGGTACGCTCGGATCCATGCAGAGATTAGGTTGTGTAATGTTGTATCGACAGCCAGTGTAATGTAAACCGGGACCCTGTTTGTTATCATTTGGTTCTATGACGGGTATGACCCACTACAAGCAAGTTCCCACGAGTACAACCTTCCCAGAAACTGATTGAACGACTACAACATCTTCAAAAGTAGAAATGACTCAGGCATTCGGGGAAATCGTCTTTCGCACTCGCTATAGCGACATCGAATCATGTCGAAGGGAAGAGTTCTGAGCATTCAGTCGCATGTTGCGTTCGGCTATGTTGGGGGAAAGGCTGCGGTGTTTCCCCTCCAATGCCTTGGCTTTGACGTTGATGTAAGGTTCAACGGTAAAGTCTGGAGCTGGACTGAACGGGTCGCCCACCTTTACAGGTAGTGAATACTGTCAACTTCTCGAATCATACTGGTGAGTGCGCCAGCCATGATCTACGAGTTGTGCCTTGATTCGAGTTTTGTGATAGGGTATGGCCGCTTCGGAGGATCCAGAACCACCGCGGAAGAATTGTCTCAGATGTTCCGTGCTTTGGAAGAGAATGGGCTCCTGAAACCTTCCCGGCTTCTCACTGGTATGACGAGCTGAGGACACCACCTATGGGATGTTTACCTGCTCAAAATTGCAGGATATATCGCTGGAGCGGAAGCCCTCACAACAGTAGCAGGCCTAGCAAGTAAGCTGCGGCAACGTGATCCTCAGCTAATATATGTCCTAGATCGTATGTTTGATCATCTGGAATGCCCATGAATATGTGCTGACGATCTCTCTGCTCAGCGGTGCTTGGAGATGCTGGTAAACTCTATGTGGCACCGGAGTGCGTGCCCATATACCAGTCCATGTTACCTCTCGCCACAGTCATCACCCCAAACTGGTTCGAAGTCGAGTAAGTTTCTATGACTTCCTTGTTGCCTGAGCCTGGCAAGAACTCCTCAGGGTCCTGACCAAAATCAACATCGTGGACATGACATCCTTGAAGGGTGCACTCCGCGTCCTGCACGAGCAATACGGCGTACCGAACATTATCATAAGCTCTATGATTCTCAAGCCCTGGCTGAAGGAGGCCTTGCCTGACCACATACGGCCTTCCAACGCGGAACAAGACCGAGCGGATTATCTGCTCTGTCTTTGTTCAACGTCCAGCAACACGGAGAACCCGGACGATCTCTCTATGGTCCATGCATACGCCATTCCCTGTGTCCCCGGATATTTCTCTGGCGTCGGTGATCTTTTCTCAGCTATGGTCCTTGCGCATCTTGAACCCACGGTCTCCCCTGCTGACCTGGAACAGCTGGGCACGGGCCAGACACCGCTGTCGTACGCCACCTCCATGGCGGTTACCAAGACGCATGCGGTACTCTCGGTGACGTACGAGTACTCGCAGAGCCTACCGGAGGACGAGCGGTTGCCTACGGATGATGAGAAGGATAAGGAGGACCCGGAGCGCAAGATTCGGAGGATGAAGGGGAGGGAACTTAGGCTTGTGCAGGCGCAGGATATAATCAGGAGTACAAGCATTGAGGAATGTCGGCGGATGGAACCTTGGACGACTTTTTGGAAGTTGTAGTCTAGGGCTCGGCATAGATTTCCGAACTACAAATTAGATATTGCTATTGCTCAACTGGATGCCCATGTACTTGGATGTCTATATCTTGCCTAATGTCTACCTCGAGCCCCTTGAATTCCCCTTGACAGCCCGAACACATGCGTAGCGACACGTACAAAGCAACACCACTGACCACCATAAATCCAGATTTGGAAGGTGTTTATTATATGACGCCTCGGCTTTCCCCAACGTCCTGACGCCTGCCGTGTGCTTCAAGCGCGGTGGGCCCATCCCAGGCAAATTCTGTAATATTGTCCAGGTCTTGTATCGTTTAGCATGAGCGACGGTGCTCGGTATGTCTGTCATCATCGCTCGACGCGCTTGTACTGATTGTCTGACTTAGGTTGCGGCAGTCATGGTATAACGCGCTCTCGGAATCCGAAGAGTACTTTCGAACACTCCTGAAGTCACCTTCCTCGCCGGAATGGAAGCGCATTGTAACAACCTCTGATACCTCGAAGAGAGGCAAAGGGAAGTCGCGAGCGTCTGCAGCTCCGGAACTAACGGACGTGATCGTCCATCGGAGGACACTCAAGTCGGGAGACACGGTTTACAGGGCGGTACTGGACGTGCCGACCGGTGATGAACCAGTCGTACTTGACCCATGGAAGTCGGTTTTGATCACTCCGGAACTCAGGAAGGAGTGGGATCCCGCGGTGGAGGGTGCGCAACTCCTTGAGATGTTGGATCCTACTACTAGAGTGTCGAAGACGAATTTTACGCTCGGTTGGCCTGCAAAGTGAGTTATTCCTGACGCTAGGAGGCTAAATTGTCAAACTCTTCTAGTCCTCGAGACGCAGTCACCATTTCACGAACCTTCCACGACGCTACGACCCTCATGGACATCTCTACGTCCCTGCCCCGCTCGATCGACGAACCCGCATACCTCAGACCCTCGCCTCCCTATGTTCGATCAGATGTCAAACGTGAATAGTGTGAGCTATCGTCTGCGAGTCATCACTGACTGCACTATCCATAGTGTTTGCCTGGTGCATCCAATACCTAACGCAAACGCCAGCAACAGATAGTAAGCCTATTCCTGCCAAGCTGCGTATCACATGCTTCTGGCAGCATAACTTCAAGGCAATGTGGAACTTTGGGTCCGCTGCTGGCCTCTCTCAAGAACTGGCAGCAACGGTACTTGGTCTATACAAGACGGTGCGGGGTCGAGGCTCTAGGGTGCCGCTATTGCTTGGCTACGGTAATGGCGTTGCTGTCGAACGGATCCGCTTTGACGTTGATCGCGAGGCTCTGACTGTGGACTACTCTATCGTCCCGGAGGAAGAAGATCATGGGACGCAGTCAACAGACCTTTCCCAGAGCTTGGACTTGCATTCGCTCAAAGAGCATCGTCGGCTAGTCCGCGCCATTGAGTGCGCCCTGCCAGCATCACAGGGATGGGACGTGCAGCTAACTACGAAAGCGTCTTCGGAACGCGTCAGCCAGCTGCCGTGGACCGCTGAAGCTGTACGCGATGGGAGCCCGGAAACAGGAAACCAGCTGCCTGAACACGAGAAGTTTTTGTTCAGAGTGAAGCACAGTCCGCTCCCCGACGATCACTCCGTCTTGAAAGTGAAGGTCGTCATCGAGATATCTGGACCATCCCGCGGGCTCCGGCTGAACGGCGTCCCGAAACCGATAGAGCATATTGAGGAACGAGATCCCTCGTCGTACTACATGTCGCAGCAGATTTTGCAGGATGCTTCTAGTACAGCAGATCTCAGTTTCCATACAGCTTCTACCAGTAGCACTTCGCAGAGCACGGCTTCAAGCTCTGGAACGACTACGAGGCCGCCTCTCAGTCGGATGCCCAATGAACGTACGGCAGCCGCGGAGAAAGCGATTTTATCTCAAGTCAGGCGGAAATATATATACTTCTCCTCTCTTCTGCAGGAGCCCGAGGCGAAGTGGAAGCGGAGTAAGCATCACGTTATAGTTCACAAGTAGTTATTTTATGACTTTGCTGTAGCTACCGAAGGACGTGGCGTCGAGGTTACCCAGCTAGACTCCATAGACCCGACTTTAGTGGTCTATCGCGCCGAAGCCACTTTTGTCGGTGTTGGTCTATGGGATCTATTTGGGGCGATTGTTACCCCTGGCGCTCGAGTCTACTGGGACAAACAGCATGAAGATGCTGTGCTCCTGGAAGATGTCAACGAACTCAGTGAGCTGTGGCATGTCAAGACGAAGCCCGCATGGCCAGTAAAGTGAGTAGAAGGTGTTCAGCCTGTCTCTGTTAATGCTGACCTTCTGTCTCGCAAGTGGACGCGACTCTGTCCTGCTGCGCACCGTGTACAAGTCCCCCAGCACCATACACGTCTTTGCGTTCTCGGCAGACAATCTCCATCTCTTTCCCAACGTTCCTCCCGTCGATCCCAATGTTATCCGAACGCAAGTGGACCTGCAAGGGTGGGCCATTGAAGCATTGTCCCCGACCACAACGTTAGTGACCTTGCTGGAGCAGTCCGACCCCAAAGGCTGGTCGAATAAGACCTCCATCCCTCAGCAAATGATCACTGCTCTCGCCGGTATTGGGGAGTTTGCCATCAAGTGCGGCGGTCCTCCAGCTGCGACACGTCTGGCTGGTGCCAAAGCCAACGATATTCGGTACGATCACGAACGCGGGAGTTTCCGCATTGAGTATGAAGTGTCCGAGAGTCGTAGGACAGGTGACACTGCTTCGTCTAATGCTACAGAGAACGGAGCCAACACGTCTTCGAACATACCATTGCCTGTTGTCGAATGCGAAATCCGGTGCGATATGGACACCTGGGCACATTCTCTCGACATCGTCGTGGACCCCCCGCCGCAAGCTATCTCATGTTTACGACGCCATCGACTTTCTACGAACGGAGGAGGTCTGTGGCTCACGATATCTCACGATGCTGTCTTTGCTAGCGATGATCGAATCCTTGTCATCATTCGTAAAGGCCCAGGCCGGGACAAAGGAGTCGTGATGGTTAATGGAGCCAAAGCCATCGTAGACGTTGAAGAGCTGCCTGAAAGCGAGGTCAAATCTCTGACGAAGCAGAAACGTGTCAAGCCGGCTCGTATTCCGCTGGATCAGCCACCTGTCGTAGGTGCAATCCGGAGACGGAGGGCAGAGTGGGACGGGGATGGAGAAGGCGGATCTGGCCAAGGCGGTGCTAGCGGGGATGAGAAGGGGTCAACGTCTCCGTCAGCTTCCAGCTTTACATCCGCTCCGAAATTTTCTAGCCCTCTGGCTAGGTTCTTCACGATGGCTGTCGAGCAGGCGACCACTACGACGCAGCAGGCTGTCGCAGCTATTTCGCCCGCCACGGCTGGAGGGGATCAAGCAATGCCTTCTTCATCTAAACCGCCTATGGAGCACGCTCTGGACGCCCTCTCGCACGTCCAAACCTTTTATTTAAACCCCTCCGCTGATGGATGGGCGCTGATCAGTGAGAAGGGTTTTCCTGTCCATCGCAAGATTATACCGGAGATATCTACCACTATACCCGTCCACAAAGGTGAGAAAGTGATTGAAGGTGTCTCAGCGGAGGAGATAGCGGCGGTTGTCACTAGCTATGGATGCCGCAAGCAGTGGGATGATCGCTTCGACTCCGCAGTCGTCTTTGAAGAATACGGAGCACGGTGTCATACTGCATTCTTGGTCACGAAAGGTGGTTTCCCATTCCGCGATCGTGGCTTCTATGTAGCTTCGATGCTGGCTCGTACCTCGCCGAAGACTCCCGTCTCCGCCTCGTTGTCTCGTCGCAACTCCGGGATTGAAGCTGAACAGGAGAGCCGTGCAGCTGTCCTTTGCGTGACTACATCATTTAGCTCTGACTCAATGGCGTCTTTCTCTCCTGCGAAGTATAACCCTTACAATCTTCCCGTGGGCCGGTTCTTTGTCGACGCATGGATATTGGAGACTCTGGATCCCTACGCGGAAGAGAATTACGCGATTCCTTCGACGAAGTGTACACGCTTGGTAGCGGCGGATTACGCTGGCTCTATTCCGGCTGCTGTGAACTCGATGATAAACGGGATGCTGCCTAGGTCGATTCTCAATCTGGAGACCTACATGAAGGGCATCTCGCCGTTGCCCTTCATCCGCCTACCACGCGCGGGCCTCTTCATTTCTGAAGAGAAGCAGGATGAGCCCTTCAAGGAGAATTCCTGGAAATTCATTCGCCGCGACAACAATCGCATGCTTGTGACCGCTGGGTATACACCGGAAGAGCTGGTATACAACAGTGTCATTACTTTGTCCCTGGGATATATTCCATCGACGGATACGCACGACACTTCGGATGACAGGACGCCGAGACCTAGTCGGATAGGGACGAACCCTATGCCAGAGGTTAAACATGGCGCTCATAAGTCGGAGGACTTCACTAGATCCGCCGGTTCCTTGGGACGGTCGACGCTGGCGCCATCGTCCCGAAGCGGTTCGCGGTCCCGGGAAACGCTCAGGGCCACAACTTCTGCCTTCAACCTCAGAGGAGCAGCTAAAGCACCCTCGGACTTCTTACTCGCCGAGGTTATTGTTGACTCGAAGACGTACCCCAAAGGTTATGAGGTCCGGGTGAGCTCTACTCTCAGAGACTTGAAGAAGAAATACGTTTCTAGGTCGCCAGATAATAATGGTGTCCAAGGTGGCGACCCTCAAGCTGTAGTTGTTCCCGTGACAGCTACTGTTCATGTCTTGCCTCAGTCGCCCTTGCATTCCGCGGGCTTGCAGGCCGAGCGCCCTCCGCAGCATCTCGTCCGTTTAACGATACCTACGGCGCAATTCCATGTTTCGACGATACAAGATCCGTTAACTGGTGAAACCAGAAGTGCGCCGCCGAGACCTCAGTGGTTGCTTGATTTGGAGGAGAAGGGTGCGGTCTGGAATGTAGAGGTCCGCCCGACCAGCGCTAGCGGCAAGCGTGACGGTATGATAGTGCTCGTGAACGGCGCTGATGTGACAATCGCCAGCGAAAAGGAATCGCTGGCGCATCTGGGGAGAGATGAGCTGCAGAATAACCGCATTTCGAAGATGAATATGCTCGTCAGGTGAGATCACGGTCTCACGATGCTAACGCAAACGTTTTCTGAGACCCGTTGTTGGCAGAACTTCCGAAGCTGCAGATCAGATCCCGGAGGAGCTTCGACAGCCTATCGCTGTTTCGGAGCACTTGTATGAAGCGGCTGTCCTGGAGTCATTAAATGCTCCTGAACAAACTGCTGGTCAAACGGGCGACGCGAATCCCAAGCCGGATGATGACCAGGGTGCTACCGGGAGCGCTAACGTGAGCTTCTGTCTTCAGAAACACGTGTGTGGGGAACTTATGACATATGTTGCAACCTTGCAGATACCGCACGGGAACCCTGCACCTGAGGGTGACACACCCAGCGCTAGCGCGAGTGGGGGGCTGCTAGGCTTCTTGAATTCTTATCCCAATCCGTTGGCGCGGTTCACTTCCTCGACTCCGCGAACACCTCTGCCTGAATCGCCCTCGTCTGACCTGCGAAAGCTGCCTGGCGGCTTCAACGAAGCCGACAGACCACTGGCTCTGGCGACGCTGACGAGGACGTCGGGGCGGACGTACCCTCTGTCGATGCTGCTTGCTGTGGCTCTCATCGCCTTTCTGCTGGGCTCTTTCCTGCGATCACTGCTTTCTCCTGCAGACTTCATTTACGTGGTCACGGATCTCAAGGAGGTGGATGAATCTACAGTTGGGTGGCGAGAAATCCGACGGCTTCTGGAAATCAAATACCTGATAGGAGGGTGGGATTTCCAGATAGCTGTTGTGCGACGCCATTGAGCGTCCTCGGCAGTCCAGATACTTACTCTAGTAATATTAATGCTTGCGTGCGCACTTGCTGTCGATCTATTAGTCTAGCACACGGTCCCGTAGTAGGATATGTATCTAATGTGTACTGCAGCGCGGTGGAAGCGGAAGTTTCTCAACTCGCCGGCGACGCCACAGCGGGACAGAGGAGGACAAACTCAGCCCGCCGTTTGCCGCGTGTAATTCATACCGAGTCCGAGCCCTCCGACAGATTCCCAGCTGGTGCTCTCCAGTTGGCAGCTATTCGGGTCGCTGCCCATCATCGCCGTTCTTCCCAGTTACCCTCAACATCACCGCCGCCGCTGTCGCAGACGACGACGCCCACCCGCCCGACGACGCCCCGCTCGTTGCCCAGCGCCAGATCATCCTGCGTGTATCGCATTCCGACTCAGAGACACAGCCTGTCCCCCGTATTTATCGGCTCTCCACGTACCAAACTCTAAACAACTCTCCTTGTTATCTACCCGATTCTCTTTGATTTGCTTCCGCGCGGTCAATTGCAACGTTTACGGCGTCGAACACCCTCCGTCCTCGGCCACACATCGTCGATACTTACACCCCCGTCCTGATCTCCCGCTCTTTCCCTTCGCAGTCTAGCCATGAGCTCGTCGACGCCGTCTGGTTCGTCGGGCCCGTCGCAGTCCGACTCATCGCCCGACCCGCCGTTGTCCTGGGAGGGTGACAGGATGTCCGTTTCACCACCTTTTCTCGCCCTGACCACGCTGAGCCGCCGCCTTTCGTAGGTTCAACATATATATCCATGACTACTGCACCAAGAGAGGCTTCGTCAAGACCGCTCAGGAGTTGAAGATCGAGGCTGCTCTCACGGATATAAACCACGAAACCCCGTCGCCCCCAATAAACGCCAAGCAGGGTCTATTGTTCGAGTGCGTGCTTTCTCGGTCCTGGAGGACAGCTAGTTAATCATGCCACAGATGGTGGAGTGTTTTTTGGCAGCTTTTTAGTGCAAAGAGTTCAGGCCAAGGGTCCGAGGACGCTGTCTTGTACACGCAGGTTAGTGAAATTTCCTTTGTCCCCTGCTTCTGATCCTGAGGACGTGCCACAAGCACCAAGCGATCCAGTCCGCCAAGCGAGACCGAGGTGTCATCGGTGGCCCACCACAACCCAGATTGCCCAATGGCGCTCCCGCTCCCCGGCCGGCCGTCGCACTCGTTCCTAACAATGTTGCTGGAAACGGGCCCGCACCTGCTGGTCACGGTCATCAGCCAGGGCCCTTTCCGGGCTCTAATAACCAGTTGAACGGTATGACCAACGGAACGACAGCGACCGCTCCGTCGCCCGCTCAGAGTGGCACGTTCACGCCAATGGTGCCCAACCCGCGACCCATGGGCAGCCAGCAGCGCGGGCCGAACGGTATGGGCCCTTTCCAGTCGCCGACCATGGCGCACTCGCCACAGAATCCTGGGCAGCCGCATCCGTCGGGGCAGATGAATCAGATGGGTACACCGCAGATGGGGCATATGAACAGAGGTGGCATGCCCCCACCCAATGGCACGCAACCTGGAATGCCGAACTCAGCGCACCAGACGCCTCAGCCGCCCTTTCGTTCGCCCAGTCGACCGTCCACGCCCGGGCAGAACTCGATAACGCATGCCAGTCCCTCGATGGCTGCTCGTCAGACTCCGAACCTGGCCCAACACGAGCTCATCAACAATGAGTTTCGGCAGGTTCCTATGCAGGCCCTCCCACAGCTGAAGCAGGAAATCGGGTTGGGTGACAAAGATCTGCAAGCATTCACGGTACAGGATAAGGTACGTGTTTCCTTTTGCAGTCGGTCCACCAAACACTCAGTGTGTTCTAGCATAATATTATCCAAGCATGGCGAAGACGCGTTCAGAAGCCCCCGCAAGGACAGCCCAATGCAGTTGCTGGACCATCCGGCACTCCGATGATGGCTCCTGGCAATCCTAGACTGCAACCCAACCAGCAGCAAGGGCAACCGCAGGGGATGGCGCCAGGTCAGCAGCGGCCTATAAAGCGCAATAGCACTTCGCCAGCTGAAGAGGTAGTACCATTGTTTCAAAGGAACCTCGCTCGTCTAACTTCTACGAATAGCAGGATTCTTTGCTACGCACAGATTCGTCACCCCCCGACCGGAAGAGACCACGGCGCTCTCCCAACCCGGAGCATCAGCAGCAACAGCAAGGACAGCAGCAGCAGCAGTCACAACAGCCGGCCATGGCTCCCTTCCCGCATGCTCACCCTCAGGGTGGCGGTCCTGGTGGGCCTGGTGGACCGCAGCATATGCCGAACGTGCTGATGCGACCCCCACAAATGGGCGGGCCGCCGATGGGCAACTTCCCCGGGCAGCCTGGTATGCCGAACATGATCAATAATCCTGGGATGAACATGGGTATGGGTCAGATGGGTCCCGGTGGGATGAATGCGATGAGCCCTGGCATGATGAATCATCCGCAGGGTGGAATGGTGAACCCAGGCCCGGTATGTTTCTTAATAACATGCGTTTGTTTGCGAAATACTCATCGCCGCATCCAATAGCACTCGCAGCAGCAGTACAGGCAAACGATGCATAATCTGCACAAGAGCAATCTGCCACCTGGGGCGTTGAACATGATGCCAGGCCAGAATATGAACTCACCGCATTCCAATGACCCGTTATTCAACAATGCTGACGGCGGTCAAGGGCAACGTCAGCCCTTCCCGGGCGGCGTCCCAAACAACCGAATGCAGGGCCCGAAGGCGGGACAGATGCCGCCGCCCCCTTCGCCGGCCATGAACGGGATTGGGAAGGGGCCTCAAGGAGGGCCTAAGCCTGAGGGAGTGTCCGAACAGGGTGCTCAGAATGGTCGACCGGAGGGCTCGCCCCAGAATGCTTCGGCTGGTATCGGTCAGGGGCAGAACCAACAGCAAGGGAACCCTGGGCAGCCATCGACTGCACCACCAACACCTGCTTCGAACGGGATGACGGCCCCGTCACCGTCGCAGATTCTGAGCAGCAGTGCGCCTGGCATGAACCCGTCGTCGGGGAACTCGACAGACTCTATGCCCAGTAACTTGTTCACCACGGATTTCATGAGCTCGATGGGTTCCATGAACGGGGGTGCGTTTGACGACATTGATCCAGCTATCTTTGGGGGACTGAGGGACACGGACATCAATTTTGAGCGGGACTTTGGGCAATGGTTCAATCCGGATGACGTCGCGTTGGATATGACCAAGTAGGTTGGATGGGCATCTTTGCGACTGCGGCCGTGGGTGGACGGTCATATCTCCTTCTACACTTCTTTGCTACTCCAGTCTATTGTTTCAGTTCTGTGTCTATGTTGTTGTCTGTCTGTCTACCTTCCCACCTCGCTGATCTGTCTTCTTAATTTTGGATCACTTTTGCTATTTATTCAAAAGGCTGGAATAGCGGCCGTGCATTTTTAGTTAATCGCATAGTTCTCCTGCGTTGTTCCCTTCCTTCTGGCTCTTTACTCTGTGTTGTGCGGTGCGCCCGTCGTTGTTTGTTCTACTCTATCTTGTCATGCTGTACAATGCTTTGAAATCCTAATCTCTGGAAAGGACTTTATCTGCTCCCCAGTTGGGACGCGTTAGCCATGTCACAGGTGATCGTGCGACCGTGATTATCACAGAAGTGCTAAGTAACTCGCGCCACAATGCGCCACAATGCCAGGAGACCCAAGGGTTGGTATGTACGACGGGGAGTCACGTAAGGCACGCTTCCAAGGCGTGCAGCGGACATCACGAACTAAATAGGTCGGTTATTGGTAGATATATCCTATGTAATCCCCATACAACAAGAAAATATAAAGATGTACTGCCCGCACATGCATCAACCAGATTGCGATCTATCAACTAGGGTCCCAACCATGCAGACGTGAGGAGCGTGACGACATGCATTCGTAAGATATCGACTGGGGTAAAGTCAAAGCTAGACGGTGGGAGACTGTGCTCGGGCGAAAGGGTGGAGGGGATGGACAGACAAGAGGGGGGAGATGAATATGACCAGCAGATGGATTTTCGCATGCTTCCTCTATAATCCCACCACGAACACCAGCGCCGTAACGGCCAGCGAAACGACCGCCGTCTTCAAGCCGGACGCGCCGCCCACCATTGCTGCACCCGAGTCTGCCGAGCCGTCGGTTGCCGTCTTGTTACCGGCAGCGGCACCGCTGGAAGTGGGCGCGGCAGCATTGGTCGCAGCACTCTTCGCCGTGGTGATCTTCGACGACGCGGAGGTCGTACCGGAGGGAGCGGAGACCACGACCGTGGAGCCAGAGCCAGCAGAGGACGACCCCGCGCCAGGCAAAGCACTGCCCGGAACGGAGGTGTTGCTGCTGCTGGTGCTGCCTGAGGGCGGCGGGGTCGCAGACGAGGGGTCGGTCAGCGCACCGGTGCCCCAAGGGATGGCGGCGCCGCCCGGCTGCGACGCGTTGGAGGGGTCGACGGTCTTGCCGTTCGCGTCGGCGATGGCGAACCGGGTGGTCCAGGTCTTGTTCGGCGACGAGGGGTCGGAGAACTGGTAGAAGTAGATAGCAGCATTGGGAGTGACCTGGCACGAAGGTTGTTGGAATTACGCTTGACCAAGAACAAACGCAGGACTCACCGAAGGGCAGGGATAATCGTAGGTGTTGGTAGAAGTGCTCGTGCCGTCCAGAGTGGTCACAGCTATTCGGGGGCTACCATTAGTTTAACCCACCATAACGTAGTAGACGCACTGACTTGTCAGATGCACCATATTGAAGTTATCGCCGGTCATGAGCTCGATGGCCATGTTCTTCCACTGGCCAGTGGTGTCGGGGTCCCACGCAATGTGACAGGTAGAGCCTTCATTGAAAACGCTGCCGGGACCGGGCTCGTTTGGCGTGGGGTCTGCGCGAGCAACCAGAGAAGAGGCAAAAAGAGCGGTGAGGGCGAACGCGGTGAACATCGTAAACTGTGGTCGGCAAGTGTAAACGGGGATACGAGCGCTGTCAACAAAATGTCAGTAAAAACGCAGGTAAATCCAAGAGCGCTGAACACGTACTTTAAGCAGAGGAGCAGACCCAAGGCACGCAAAGGAGCGACAGGAGAAAAGAGAGGCTGGGTTGAAAAGCTGGGACCGTCGTCGTTGAGAGCAAAGGGCTATGTATCCTGTCGGCTGAGGGGGGCTGGCGCTGTACTAGCGCCCCTCGATATGGAAACCGCCCATGTGCAGAGCTAATAATAGCGTGCAGCCTCCCACAGGGGCATGTTTTGCCTTGCCTCGCGCGGTTGATGGCGGTGGACGGCACACAGCAATACAGTACGGAATGTGTTGCGTTCTCTACCACATGCGATGCTCGTAATGAGAGACGAGTTGGAAGCATACATGCTAGTACCAGGGCGGATAACCTTTCTGTACAACCAACGTCAATCAGGCATCGAACGGTTCTTCCATCGCAGTTCATCGATGTCGATGCACCCAACTGTGCCTGGTTTGTTCGCCGTACTATGTAGGGATATTCAATGGATGACTTCCCGTAAGCATTTAGAACGCGTTTTGAGCAGTTCTAAATCTCTAAACGCATCAAGCCGAGATGCCGTCTTGTCACGCTCCCGCTTAGACCAAGTTTTGATGAGGCTCGTCGAGCAAAAACCGTCTCTAAACTTTAAATCTAGCAGGGGGGGCCGACCCCCCTTTCCAAATCTCCAGACGACTCTAAACGCTCGCTTAGCCTCGGTTGAGGTCCGCGTATCAAACCTGCCATCAGCACCTGCTAAATTGAGCGATCCGCTCGCCATAAATGGAAAGCGACCTCATGGTCGTGACTTGCAGTCGTCGAGCGTTGGTCTGGCATTACGGATGGGAGGAACAGTTCTATTTTTCCATTGCACCGTGGCAGCGAGTGTGACCAGGTACGCTGATGGCGTTTAGAACTGCGAAATCTAGGATTTTGGCTTACGGGAAGTCATCCATTGTCACGACGAATCGTCTCGGCATCATGCTAAAGAAGAGAACGGCCGTCCACCTGACATGCATGTATACATGTATGGTGGTAAACAGCTCAACTGGGTGAGTCGTTCGGACGGGGCCTCTAGACCAGGCTCCTAAACCATCCGTCCTTAGCGTTCTCGCTCCTCCTTTACTAGGGCGCACGTGCAGTGTTATATAATACAAATCTATTTTTAATTTATTACCGGATACAGAACGAACAAGAGGAGGAGAACGCTATAGGACGGCTGGCACAAATGTCGTCGCCGAGATCCCCGAGGCTGACTAAGCGGACGGTGGCTGAAGCCTTTCAGTAGCGGTCGGCGGGCCTTCACGCAACCATTTACAACTTATTACCTTGGCATTTACCGCTCGGTGTACTTTATAGTAATGCAAAAATGTCCTAACTAAATGGTATACTCATGCAATGGTTATCAGTAGTACCGAAGGCTGAATATCCGGCTGAAGAGGCATAATGGCTATAGACAAGCCCCTCTGAGTGTCAGAAGTATACCAAAGGTATTTGCATTGGTCTTGAACTATTTTAGCACTTGTTTATATGTGTTCTGCGTGAGCTCAACGAGGTAGGTGTCGAGACGCTCTCTACATCACCCGCCAACCGCTGCTGAAAGGCTTCAGCCACCGTCCGCTTAGTCAGCCTCGGGGATCTCGGCGACGACATTTGTGCCAGCCGTCCTATAGCGTTCTCCTCCTCTTGTTCGTTCTGTATCCGGTAATAAATTAAAAATAGATTTGTATTATATAACACTGCACGTGCGCCCTAGTAAAGGAGGAGCGAGAATGCTAAGGACGGATGGTTTAGGAGCCTGCCTCTAGACCAGCATGAAGACGACGGATGGTATAATGAGAGTATCCATCCGCATCTAGATGGATGCTCTATTAGGTTACGATTACCTCAAAGCTAACCTTAACAGAGAGATCCTGTCAAGCATCGTCTGCAGAAACCTGCCACCACCTTGAGCTTTTAGGATTCGTAAGTAGGCCGCCTGCCCTGAGAGAGTAGACAGATGAGCAAGCAAAGGTCTAGGTATACAGACTACATACCAGCGCGAGCGATGCAGACGACATCAAGAGAAACCTCGGTCAGATATCTAGTTCGAGGCCACAATGGCTGCACAAAAGGTTGGATTGATATAGAGAATATACCTCCGGGTATCCTAGTGGAGTAACAGTGGACCGCGGATCCCCTGAAGCTCCGCAAGGACAGCCAGAGAGTTGATATGGCCGCCGCAAGCCCAGAATATCGCTATAAGGTGTATCATTCACGACACCTTGACCATTTACATCGTACGGGAAACCCTAGACCGGTATACGAGTTGATAAGAAACTGGGAGTATTGCAAGGCACCGCGGAGCACAGGAGTCCCTTGATCATGAAGCACAGGTACTGCCCATCATGCATGAGAGGGGCAGCAGCACTCCTCCGAGCACTCTTGCTAGGGGTTGCTAGATTGCGCGAAGACATGTTGTAGCTAGCTCATTGTTCCGTACGGCGCGAGAACGGTGCAATGAAGCCCCCGGAGAGGTATGAGACATGAAAACAGAGCTGACAACTTACGGGCATTCTCCTTTGAAATCCGCATGGGATTGGGGGAGGGAGGGTCCATAGCAGAGCATCCACGGATCGCAGTCACAATTAACGAGTATAAAGCCTGAAGGCCACACTCTCCGGAGCTGACGCTCTCCCGGCCTTGCGGCCACATTTGCATCGGAGGGTCGATGTCGCCGAGTCCAAAGCAACCTGTCCAGCTCGACATCCAATAGCAGCAACCACCGCAATTGATTTCCTTGATCGCTGCTATAGTCGACGTCAAAGGGCCGGTCCTCCAATGTGGTCGACTGATACAGTTCTCCCCTGGCAACCAATCTAAGTGTGATGGGAAGTCACAAGGCGTGACACGCTGCTCTCTTCCTCCTCCCTCTTCCTCTGCATACCGGCCTCCCTGCGCGACTGAATTCGATTCAGCGTCTTGAGATCGCCGGCAGACGTCCGACAACGACATTCTTTTGAATTACGTTCTTTTTCTCCTATTCGGTTTCACGTCTCCATCGGAGACCGTCAAACGCACGCTTAACCCAATCAAAAGCCTACTGATCCCACTGAAAACATAGACCAGTGCTGAACACCTTGGGGAAATGTCTTCGGAGAAACAGCTGTTCGACAATGTTAAGCTGGGGCGCCATGTCAAACGCGACGGCTTCGTGCACGTCGCGAAACGGCGCCTGAGTCCCCGAGCTGACGATCCGAGCGATGATTTCCATAACCATCCCAAGACGATTGACCTGGGCCCTGTGCAGCAGTCAACAACCACGTCGACGAGCACAACGAGTATACCCACTCGTGAGTTTTACAGACTTCCGCTCTATATCCGCAAGCTTAACGATCCTGTATCTGTTCCCCTAAAGCGACGCCGCCCAAGCCTGTGACCACGAGTAGCTTGACCACAAGCACCTCCACTTCTTCTTCCGTTTCGAAGCCGACCACCACCTCGTCCACAACCAGCGCCACCACGTCGGCTACCACCAGCTCTAGCACTACGAGTAAGCCGACCACGACGACGAGCACAACTCCGGTAAGTTACTTCGCGTTTTATTCTGGTCCGCGTGCATGAATTATTTGTAGGTTCAGACGCACACTTCGACCACCGCGGCCGCCGTGACGACTCCAGTGACCACGGCCAAGGCGTTGACCCCCACATTCGCTTCTACTACCTTACTTGCCCAAGCGTCTGCGTCCGCGTCGTCCACCTCCACTCCTGACGATGACAGCTCGATCTCCGGGGGATTAATTGGCGGCATCGCAGGTGCTATCGGTGGCTTAGCCCTCATTGCCTTGGTTGTACTCTACTTCCTGGTAAGTTCCCTGCATCTCCGCAGTCTCGTCAATATCTCACAACCAATCTAGAGGAGGAAGAGAAACGACGGCTATAACGAGAATGCTGACTTTAACCCCGACGCTTTCAGGAGCCAGTCAGTCATGCTGCCCGATGACGACCGTCCTTCCCGCCGCGGCCCCAGGCCACCGACCATGATCGAGCGGCACGTCGCCAACAGCCCTGCGACCCTGGGCCCGAACCAGTACAACTACCCCCTGCCGCCTCCCCCAGCTCAATACGCTCAGGGAGGATACGGTAATCCGTTCGGCAACCAGTATCAAATGTCGTTCAACCCTGGGGATGTTATGTCGCCTGGCCCTGGCCCCGGCTCGCCTTCGCCCCCTCCACCTAGCCACAGTCCGTACACGCCAAACACCGCGCAACCATTCTTTGGGCAGTACGCGCAGTCGCCCATCGCTTCGCCTATGACCCCAGTCGGGTACAATAACATTGGCCAGCCTGCGCTCTCCCGGCAGCCCTCTGGTGGATCTCGGGCTCTCATGTCGCCAGGCGGCCAGGACGATCACTACATTGACCTGAACCGCAGCAGCGTGACGCCCTTCCAGGCTCAGCAGTACGAGGAGATCTCCAGGAGGCTCGGCGCGCAGCCGTCGGACGGCATCGCCAACATCTCCGAGGAGGCGGAGGCCGTTCCCTCTCCCCCTCCTAAGGAAAAAGAGACGCCGTTGACTGACCCGGCCCTGCGCGTCCCTGCTACCCCCGCTCCGCCGTACAGCGACTATGACCCACATAGCGTTAGCGAGGAGCTGCCCGCCCCGCCTTCGCCCGTGCATACCTCCCACTCGAGGGTGCCATCCTCGCCGCCTTTGCTGCCGGAGATCGAGCTGCACAACAGGCCGTTCTCGCCGATGGACCACTCGTATGACTTCCCGTCGTCCGCGAAGGCGAGCACGTTTGATATCCCGTCGCCCAAGCTGGACGCGGAGTTCGCCGCCGCTGGTCCAGGACCGAGTGCCAAGGCGCCTCCGAGCCAGCTTAGGAACGTCGCGGCCATGAGGCCCGAGACGGTATACGACCCCGAAGACGCGTATGGCGGCATCTAAGGTGATGTTGCTGTGTGCGTCTGAAGTCACCCTTGATGGGTTGCAATGTAAATGGATCCCGAAGTGGTGTGTACCAGCCTGCCGCGAGCGGTTAGATTTGGTTGTCAGTGTATCCCGGCTTACAATTCCCCTCTGTCTAATCAAGTTCCCTCCTCTTCCTCTACCGTTCGCTCGCTCGCTTGCTTTTTACCCCTGTTTAATGTGCTTGGCAAACGAAACCGGTGTTCGCTGGGTCGCTGGGATTTGACCCCTGGGTTCGGGTTGTGTCGTTTCTCGGAGGTTCATTACGCTGTCTTGGCTAGAGGTTCCTCCGCGCGTGTACACTCTGACGAGTATACCTTTACTTTCCTGTCATACCTACTAACGAATTGTCGTCTATACCCCTTGCGTTTGATGACATATATATTCCTATCCGAGCATTTGTCTGCTTGGTCCATGCGCTTGGACAGGCGGACAGGCAGTCTCAGTTATGAGCTGATAAGTGCTACAACACCATGGCCAAGATATGCCTCCTAGAACTTGGTGAACAGGCAGGCCGCCGTGATGGGCTTAGGTTTGGTGATTTGTACAAATTACGCGTTCTCATTACCAACGTATCAGAGAGATTTCCTGAACGTCGTTGCAGTACATGCTGGTGCCTTTCGCTCGATATCCGGATTCCGGAGTAATAGTGATTTGTCTGCCAGTGTTAGACTACGTTATTCAGTATTCCTCCGCCGCCCGTGTCCCCGCTGAACCTCGAACATTGAACCGACCGGGATTTGGGCCCTCCGCCTCAGTACGTCCCTCGCTTTTTCAGTCCTTCGACGTCGCGAGAAGCAACCTGAAGCCACATAGTATTTCTGCTTGGTGGTTACAGTAACTTACAGAAACGTACACCTGGTTTCCATAAAGGGTCCGCGTGCGTATTATTAGCACTAAGCAGGGTATACTGCGCCCTTTCGTGTCCAGCGTTCTGCTTGCCCTTGTAGAAGTACTTTGCATCGACTCATCCTTTCGCTCGTTTTCACCGTTCTCGCCATTCTGCTCAGGTTCTGGAATCAAGGTTTATACCCTGCTGCAATTTAACGACTGCATACGATACATACCGCGCCGACGACTCTCCAATCCCCTACTTTATTGCTATTTTACTGCATGGCTCAAGCATTATTTGAAGATCACCCTTTGAAGGAGTACCTGAGAGGTATGTGCCTCTGCTGGCGTGCCACATGCAGAGACTGAAATAACCAGAAATTGGAGAGGATGTGCCTACCATGCCGGGAGGGAGCGCCGACTTGGGAGCTCCTTGGGAAGATGGAGATGATGAAGCAGCCGGAGATGACTTTGAACTTGATCAAGACTGGATGCCGCCCCTAGTGTTAAAGGCGCTAACGGTGAGTAACATGTACCGACGGTACCGCGGGGGAGGGAAGGTCGGCGTTCCTGCAAGTGATCATGCTCGCAGAGAACGATTTATGAGGAAGGGCTTTGCTCCTGACATTGGAAGTGACTGCAGTGTACTGAGCGAGGTTGAATTGATACGTTCAGCGTCTTCAGAGCCTGCTTTCATTCCCAATGTTACTTCTCCTGGTAGCCCTCGAATTTTGGGAGGCGACGGGTCTCAGCTGAGCAGAATGCTTTGCCGGAAGGAGTAGACGTCGCTTGCCTGCAGCGTCGGTTTTGAACCCTAGGCCTGGCTAGATTTATGTATGCGTACTAATCCTTCGTCTATGTAGGTCATCCAAGATCTACTGTCGTCACTGCATCCTCCATCCAATTCTCGTTTCGAGGAACAGTTCAAGTACGACGTTATCTCCTCCAACCTCCTCTCCGCCTCTCTACCCGTCCCTTCCTCTACGCGCATACACGCATATACCTCTCACGAAAACGTTCCGCGTGTACCCGGCCATCTTCAAAGCAATCGGGACACGAGCATAGACGAATCCCCATTCGGCGCGATCGACATCACAGACCCCCCAGCCTCTTGTGCTCAATTTCGTCAAGCACCCATCACAGACGTGGACTCAGCGTTCGCTGTCGCTCTTAGTCATCATCACTTGCCTCATATCTTGGTCGCTGTAGCCGCGGTATTAGGTGTATCGCGCTTCTACGCATGCGCATTCATTGTTTCCCTCTGCTCATTATATTTCGCTCTTGATCTTCGTCAAGCACTGCCAAATACCTCACCTCGTCAGGACCCAGCCACAAATGTACGTGTAGGTCATCGCAATGTACTCTAATCCCATACCAATTCCCCGCTGCAGGCTCTAGAAGTACTGCACGAACTGATCAATGCAGGGAATGTCTGGGACTCGGCGGTGAACGAAGCGTTCGGCATCGTCGAACTGGACGAAAAGAGGCACGAGAACAGGTAACCCTCACGATGCTAGATGTCTCCGCATATAATATTGACTCCCAGCAGTGCCTATTACAGCCCCGCATCGCCTTCGAGCCCGACCTCGCCCTTACGCATATCCCTCCAGACCACGCTGCACACGACGGCTTCGCAGTGCGATAACATCCGTCAACTGCTGTCCGCGCTCACGTGCCCGACGTCGCTTTCCCAATTGTCTGAGATGTATGCACCGCCGTCTCCGTCTGCGTCCCCTATGAGGCAGACGTTTGCTTCATCTTCCTCCGGGCGCCCAACGTCTTTTCCCGAGCGCTCGTTGAGGATGAGTAGGGTACTCGATGCAGAGAATGAGAAGGAGGCGAAGAGGGCTACTTGGAACGGGTCGTATACGTCCCTCGCGTTCTCCGGAAAGGATCGCAGGAAAGAGAAGAGAAGGTCAGATCTCTCGTCTCTGCTACAGGCTCCGGGTTCGGGGAGCACCAGCGCTCCTGCGACGCCAATGTTGGCGGAGGTGACGGAAGAAGATGCGACTGAGCATGACCAGGACGGGGACGCTGGTGCTGATGCTCATCCTCCCAGCTTGGATGTCAAGCCGGAGGAGGAACCCGACCTTTCCGAGGAATATTTCGGCAAGGACGCGCTAGGCTTACGAAGGAAACGGAGGATCCGAGGACTTAACTCGGTCCTTGGGATGTCCACCCCTCCCTCCTCGGCACCGTCATCGCCTCAGTCCCCCCGCTATCAGAGCGATCCTCGTCCCAGGACGATTTCCCTCAAAAACGAAAGCCGCACAAGGACGACGTCACTCACCAAGCGGAGATCGATGGCTAACTTATCTACATCCCTTTCTTCAGGCTCGCGCTACACGCTCCTCCCAGCTTCTAGGCACCCCCTCTCGCTCTCGTCTATCCAGACCTCGCTCCACAGCGCCATCGCCGCCAAGCGGTACGCCTGCGCGCACCTGCTCGCGCTGCGCTTCCGGGACGACGACGAGGCGTACTGGGAGGACGTGCGGAGCGTCGTGGGCCTGCTGAAGAGCACGTTCGAGGACGCCGCTGAGCGTCTCGCGGAGGCGTGTGAACGGCACGCGCGCGAGGGCAGCATGAGCCCCCTCGGCGGTCACTCACGCGTGGTGAGCCTCGAGGAGGCGCCCGGGAAGATGAGAGCCCGGGAGGAAAAGGAGCGAACGGCGAAGGTGAAGGAGGAGTTGCTCGGGGCGCCGTCGTTTGCGCCGATGCCCAGCCAGCTGACGCGGTTCGCGACGCATGTCGATACAATATCGACCGCGCTGACCGATGCGCGGGAGCAGCTGGAGGAGACCATGCTCGCTTTACGATCTCCGGGTCATCAGGTCCCCCGTGAAGACGAGGAGACAGCAAATGATGCTCCTGAAGGTCCACGAGAAGCGCACCCCGCGCTGCAAGCGTATGAGCGCCTCCGGCGGGAGCTCGGTCTGGCTCTTCGAGAGTGTGAACGCGGGAGGGAACGCCTGCTCGACATCCTTACGCCCCGGCGCCATGCCGGTGAGGATACGGATGGCGATTTAACAGACGAACTGCCTGCGCTTGGGCCGGACGTCGGGAGCGATGAGTCCGACAAGCACGACTCCTTGACGCCTATCATCGATCAGGGAGCAGCAGAACTCGTGGCGGTGGTCGACCCGGCGGACGAGGCGCTGGACGACGCTACGTCGCATTTGCTGCTCGGCACTTCGTCGCAGCATCTGCCCCCGCCCGGCGTCGAGCAGGTGTTCGAGAGCGATGCCGCGGAGCGCATGTCGTTTACCAGGGAGAAGTCGAAGCTCTCAAGAGAGGAGCGGATACGACTGATGAAGGAGCGGAGGGAGAAGGCAGGCAGTCTCTACCTGGGCCCCTCGAATGTCGACTCTTTGGACTCGCCACCGCCATCTGAGAAGTGGGGACCTGGAGGGGATGTCGTCCAGGAGCTCAAAGACGTCATATGGCAAGTCGGGGAGAAGCGGCGGAAGGTCAGTGAGGGTCGTAAGGCTTCGCCTAGTCTCCAACAGGAGACGTCTTTGCAGAGTTCAGCACCTGGGACTCCCGCTGATGAGGTGCGGACACTGTCGTAGAGTGTGTCTTGACGCCACGTATCGTATACTTATATGCTATTCTTACGCTGTACTTACTGTTGCTGCATAATTGACGCTCTTACATGGCTGCACGTCGCCTTCGCTGAACTCCAGAAAGAATACTGAGGCGAAGCGTGTTACGTGAGATCACGTGGGTGTGACTACCGCGTATAACGAATGCGCGTTGTGTTCGGATCTGTTCGGATAGCGTGAGCGTAACTTGGACTTGACCTCGACCATGTCCGTACCCGCCCTCGCCCTCGCAAAGCCATCCGAGTCACTGCCTCAATGCGACCCCCACCTCATGCCGTTCCGTATCTCGTATTCTGGACCTGCACCCATCAAGTCGTATTTCATGATCAAGCCCGCATCGAGCTCCGTTGGACAAGAACCTGACGATGTGGCAGGCAAAGTCGCGAAAGCTGAGACGCAAAGCGCTGTAGAAAAGGATAGCTTTGCGCATCTCGGGGGAGAGTGTATGGACGTAGACCAAATGGATCTCACGGGCGATATTCAGGAGCCCTCAGCACCAGAGCCTTTATCCAACGCACCGTCCAGCTCTAGCAGCTTGACTTTGTGCGATAAGGGGGAACAGAAACGCTCAGTGGCGGCGTTTCGTGGACGAACTGTCCACGGACTCCAAGTCACTTTACCGGACGGGTACACGGGAATTGTACTGCGACCACCAGATGCGTCCGGCAAAGCGAAGGAGAGAAAGGGCGTCGCTCCGAAAGCAACCCCGACATCCAGGACTACACGGAGAGGGCATAGCGCTGCGCGAGAACACGGACATGAATCAGAAGAGACTGATGAGGGCGCTTCGTATTTCGCACAGTTGAACGCTCGTACGCTGACCCCTACACATGTATTCCCCTCCTTCACATTGTGGCACCCTGATATTCCCGTCGACGAAGCGAGAGACGAGTACTGGCGCTCACTGCAGGAATGGGTAACCCTGAGTCATGAGGTGCGTTTGCCTTACGCTGCGTTGCCTCTGACCACTAACAAGCTCTGCGAAGATCCATGCGTGCGATTGACACCTTACTCATACCACATATACATTCTGCTATCGGCCTGTACATGAAGATCGTACGACTTGAACGTGGTGCGAAGCTACGCTCTGCTCACTTGCAAACACTTCTCCGTGAACGCTTGTGTCCACGCAGGTCATCAGCGTTCTGTTCATGATATAGGATTAGCCCCCCTGGCATTGCATGGCCCGTGAGATACGCTGATGGCAGGTACACTGCATCCCGAGAGCTATAGTATAGCGAGCTGCGCATGCGACCTTGTAACATCGTCCCGTCACAATGATCGACGACTGGTCCAACGTGTGCCATGCTATCGTTGGCACAATCAGCACTGGAGGGACTCTGGCTGGAGTGTACTATGCAGCCACGGTTCGAAGAGCAGGGATAGCACCACGTCAGCCTCGCAGCCGACTTCCCGATGACTTGGTGCGCTTGCATTGCATGTATGCGGCCTGTCAAGCTGAAGTGGTGTCCATCTCTTATTCAGGAGATGGGCGGCATGAGTCGATCTTACTCTGTACTTATCCCAGTCCGCTCGCAAGCTCGCGCCTTCCTCCATCCAGTCCCTAAAAAGGAAGGCGCGTGCGTTATTTGCGGTGGCACTGGTAGGGAGTCCCTAACCCTAGGCTAGTAACCCATACCAAACCCATACTCTCCGACAACCCATACCTTTTCCGGTCCACGGACTGCTATGGGTTATGGGAGAGTCGACTGTAGAAAGACCCAGCAGCCGCTTCAGCTCTGCGTTCGGACGATATAGCGCCACTGACTTTGCTGCGACTTCGTTAGTAACCCGGTCCTCTCTGCCTTGTCACACCCTCCACTTCGTACTGCGAAATGAGCAAGCTCCCCGGCGAACTTCCGCCAGACTTCCAGTCGTTCCCCAACTTTCCTCAGCTCAATAAAGCCTACCGAATTTGCCTGGATCTAGAGAGGGAAATCCAAGAACAGATGACTACGTTCGCTAACTCTGCTGTCCAGACACTGGAGCGTGACATGATCGGTTGCCGCATCCTCGGTTATCTTCTACACTATGCTCCAAGCCCCATGCACGCTACCAAGTTTGCAAGGAGGTTGTGTCTTGCCGAGGCGAGAACGCGAAGCTACTGCAAGTGGGGGAGATGTATCTCAATCACTACATCCGAGCATGTGAATATCTCATATCTCTCTCACCCCTTTCAGCTGTGTACGTTTGTCTGTTCTCCCAGTTCGCTCGAGTAAGGGTTCGGTATCTACGCCTTCACACCATGCCTCCCGACCATCGTTCGATAGCCTCGCAGACATGATCAAAGCTCTCTTGAAGGAGGCCCCACAGAATCACGCATCCGCCAAGTCCAAAGTAAGTCATATCATCCCGCACCATGACCCTCTGTAATTTCGTCAATTTCTGGAGGCCCTCGTCCGCGACAAGTTCCGCTGTATGATTTCAGGGATCTATGATATCACGTCTGCTGAGATGAATGAAGAGCTCGCGTCTAAAGCCCGGTACGAAGGAGCTCGTTTCAATTACACCGAATGTGCCCACATATTGTCTGAATCAACCAATCGGAATATCCAAGATCCGCAGAAGGGGGAACAGCTCGTATAGAATGGCAAAATGCTCATCTGGATCTTTCTCCAGGCTGATTATGCTGCTTCGGTCTTCAGCATCTTCAAGACCTTCGGATATCCAACAATATTGGACGAGTTGAATGGTGATAAGGTTCATCGTCTGCAGAACGTCTTGACATTAGAGGTCGGCGTGCACCGTCACTCTGATGCGTTGAAGATATGGCTCACCGCAACGGTATGTGTTCATGCGTCTTAACCTCGCGGATAACAACACTCGGATAACCAGGGAACGGAGAATCGATATAGGGTGGAAGGCGGTTCTTCGCTCTTTACATCACAACTACCCCAGTTCGTGACGTTCACGACGGACGACCCCGACAATCTCCCCCTTCCGTCACCACATTATCTAGCACTCCACGCCGCGTGTGCCAAGGTGGCCCATCTTTCCGGTGCTGCAAAGTATATCGACCAAGTACTGTCCGACCTCGAAGGTGCGCTGGTGCTGTCGGAGGACGGTAGCTCCGCGGAGCTTCTGGAAGCGGCTCTTCCTTCACGCTGGGCGCCGCTCTCCTATTTCTGTATGAGTTGCATTGACATGGAGTTTTCTGGGCGCAGCGTGTAGTGTAGTGCCAGGCCAGGCCTATGTTTTACAGAATATAGTTGCTATTCGCTTTGAGAGGCAATGTCCATGTCGCGCCTACAGACGACATACTGTTCGCCGGCTTTTGCCTTATCGGGTGTCGCAGATGGTTTTGTGTACTTCCGACATTAGGTACTGGTTTCCCCAACACCAACCCAGAAAAGATTCTTTCTTTCGAGTGAGACTACGATCTCTGGCCTCATCACGATACAAATATGATAGCCAGGTCATTACGCGTATCAGCCTGGCACCGCGTCCTGCACCAGGCCGAGGGGGTGCTCGACTTGGCGGACAACTACGCAAATATGATCAACATGCCTTGGGACTATGTAATGGGAAGACCGCTGCACGACATCACGCCTCCGTAACCGACTTTTCCGCTCTTATTCACCATCACCAGCCTGCCCGTGCCGCGCCTACTCCTGTACCTCCACATAGTTCGCTGCACCGAAGACAACATCGTGAACTACCCATTCACCTACACAGCACCGACCACTTACCAGGGAACAAGCCGACATTCCCATGCTGATCCCTCCCCTGCCACCAATCCTCGGAAGCGGCTTCGATTTCCGTGATGCGATCGCCCTCTCTGAACGAAAGTTCGTTATCCTCAGCAGCTTCGTAGCTAAAAGGAACGACGTCGTAAGCCGCTATCAGCGTACAGCGCGGAAGGACACGCACTCGTATAGGGCAATGGCCACGACACCTGCGTCGGCCGCTGCCGGCCCCGGTTGGGGCTCAACCTCAGGCGTGGGCGGCCTAGGCGGCTCGGCCGGGGCAGCAGGCGCAGGAGGCTGATTACCGGTGCATATTAATTCTCTAGAAGTCACATTACGCGAGCTATGGACTCACAGGAGGAGGCGGAGGCGGAGGCGGCGGGGGCGGTGGCGGGGGCGCCGCTGCTTCCTCTTCAGCAGCTTCTTCTGGCTGCTCAATAATCTCTACATAATTGGCTGAAGGGGCCGTCAGTAATCTGCGCACGAACAGGCCTACAGCAGTGAGAGCCTACCGGGGAATAACCCGCTCTTCGACCCGCCATCCCCCACGCCAGCCCACCATCCCTCGTCGATTTGTTCAATCTGCTCAATCATCTCACCTTCGGTCAAGTTCATTTCGTTGTCCTCCGTAGCCTTTGGGAAGCTTAATACACCGCACAGCATCCATAGTTCACTGCTTCGACGCACCTCGTAGTCGTACAGGACCACAGCACAGATACCTTGACCGCGCTGACTACTGTGAGGGGGCGCTGGGGCGGGCTCTTCCACCGCCGCTGGCTCTGGCTCTGGCTCAGGTTCGGGTTCCGGCTCAGGCTCAGGTTCGACACTGAGGGCGGCCATCTGGCACCGAAAGTCAGTCCGCTGCTTCCTTGAGCAATCATTCGCCTTCTTACCTGAGCCACTGGAGGTGCAGGGGCTGGAGGCGGTGGCGGTGGCTATATAGGCATCAGCACCAATATTGCACTAGCAAAGGCAGTGGGCCGTACGGGAGGGGGTGGCGGAGGAGCAGCTTCCTCAACTTCCGGCTCGGGTTCTGGCTGAGGTGCGGCAGGAGGTGGTGGAGGCCTCGTAGCAGCTGGCGGATGCGGAGGCGGCGGGGGCTATTGCGTGAATTAGCTCGCAGCCAGGAGAAGACAGAGAAAGATCGACCACTCACAGCTTCCCACTCGTCCTGTTCCTCCTCCTCCTTGCTCAGGATGGCCGCGCCCAGCGCCCCCGCGCCGACACCCCCAACGGCTGCCGCCACCGTTGCGGGGCTTGCAGCGGCGGAGGGATGCCATCCCGCGGCCTTGCTCCGTACCTCCTCCTCCTGCGCCTGCTTCTTCGCCATTGCCTGCCGCTCGCTCCACGTGAGCTTCTTGCCGCCGCTCGGGGTGGGGGCAGCGCGTTGGTAGTTCTGCTTCTGCTGCTCCTCCATCGCCTTGGCCTGCATCGCCTCGAAGGGGTTCTTGAGCTTCTTTGGCGCGAGTTTGATGGGGGTGTAGGCAGTGCCGACGGGTGCGATGCGATCTTCCTCGGCGGGCTTGGTCGGCACGTTGGATGAGGTTACCGGGGGAGGTGAAGAAGGCTAGCGATGGCATGTAGTTAAGATACGCATATCGTAGGGGAACAACGTATCATAGCACTCACAGTGGGACGGGGAGCACTGGATACAGCAGGTGGTCGCGTCGCAGCTGGAGGGGGCGGGGGCGCCGCTGCAGCGGCCGGCTTGGCAGGCTCCCAGTCATCCTCTGGAGCCTTCACGACGTTAGGGGCTGGGGGAACCGCGCGCGGTGCACTGGGAACGGGTCGCGCAGTACTAGGAAGGCTGGGTTTACTCGCAGCAGGGGCCGGCGCGCTGGAGGCAGGAGCGCCCTTGCGGATGGCGGCGATGTCGGGCCGCCCTACTGGCATGTAGTTGGTACCGACGGGGCCGATGGGCTCTAACTTCCGGGCTTTCTCGTTCTGGACGGAGTATTTGGCCCCCGAGGCAGCTTCGACACGAGACATGATGAGCGCAGGCTCGACATCAGCCTTTGAGGGCATGGTCAATTCGCCTCTCCGCAGCAACGAAGGCGTGGAGACGTACTTCATTACGCGCGTTGATAACAACATGGGTCCCGCGCAGGAAGTTGGCCACAGAGCTAGAGTGCGTATGGAATAGACCCTTCTTAGCTACCGGTACACCTTCACCACACCAATTGATCTGCACGAATTTTGGAAGCTTGCTCTGTCGATTCACGTACACTTGTTAAGCACTACATCTGAGTAAATATCGGGCGTGCAACTTACATTTGGATCTATGACCCTGGCGAAAGCGTACTGCATCCTGCCATCGGAGAACTCCTCCTGCAACTCCTCCAGACCGCCATCGCCTGTCGCTTGCACTTTCAGGTCATTCGTGCCCTTGTCATAAGTGAAGATGGCCCAGTCTATCCCTTTTGAGTTGAGGACGTCTTGATACGCTTGGTAAAGGTCCTTGCTGGAGAGATTGACCTGAAGAGACATGTCGGTCGCTCTGTCCTACGCGTGATCTTCCAAGTACCAGTCATTCAACTTGGAATTTCGGGGAGAACAATGGATCCTTACTTTCGCCTTATGCTATCGCTTTATACCGCGTCGAACCGCGCCCGCAGCTCGCTGTTGTATGCGATGCAGTAACGGTGACGAGGAGCAGGGCGATGACGGTGCGGAGGCAATAGCGACCGCGTCGGGACTTGTCCGACGGCTTTGCCTCCGGACACACTCAAGCCACAGGAACTCACATCCCAGATTATACCAAAACATACGAAACTTCTACCGGAAAGACTCTACTACGAACATAGACGTTTCACATGCATGGCTGCTAACGACGACCAGCCACCGGGTTCGTCTTTGTATTTCTATGTCAGTGGTGGACGGTTCTCCTGAAAGAACGGACCTGGATAGCGGTGGAACTCGACCCGACGGTGGATTTCATTGCTGGGACCATATCAGGTGAACCAGGATCCAAACATTGAATGTCAAACTATTGACACGGGATAATGTATAACAGGCATGGCCGCGCTTTGCGTGGGCTATCCCTTCGACACCGGTATTTACTCGACATTTGGCTCGGATATAAGGGCTGTATGACGCCTTACGCCTCAATCTGCAGTCAAGGTACGCTTCCAGAATCCAGAGATAGCTCACCGCTATCGATCGACCTTCAACGCCATAACGACGATCGTCCGAGAAGAGCGCGTCCTGGGTCTCTACAAGGGCATCACCTCGCCCCTGGTACATTGCATGTCTGACTTCTCCGTTCGGACGCGCTGCTCACCCTGCTCAAGGCCAGCTGTGCTTTCATGAACGGGCTAGTGTTCTCGTCATATCGGTTCTTCATGAAAGTACAGCTGGCTGACGCGAACGCGGTTCCGAGTCTCACCCAGATCACACTCGCCGGCATAGGCAGCGGCATTGTATCATCGTAGGTGTTCTTCGTCCCTTCCCCGAGTCATTTGTATAGTTCTGTCTGCCGAAGCATCATCACCACCCCGACGGAGCTCATCAAAATCCACCAGCAGAACACGCTGGGGAAGACGCCATCCGCCCGCCAAGTAGCCCTGGACATCTTCCGGAAGCACGGCGTGCGGGGCCTCTACAGAGGCATCACGGCTACCGCCATCCGCGACTGCGGCTACGGAGCCTACTTCTTCGGTGTAGGTGCATCCTCTGTCTCTCTGGGATTCTCGCCTCTTACTTCATTGTTCTAGTACGAAGCTACCTGTCGGTACTTCTCCAGAACGCCTCCAACTGCTATCCCATCGACCGGCCACCCGGAAGCCCCCATCCTCACCTGGCCGGTCCTCCTGCTCGCCGGTGCAGTAGCGGGCATAGCAGGGTGGGTAGCCACCTTTCCCTTCGACGTCGTGAAGACGCGAGTACAGAGCACCTTCGGCGAGCCGATCGCAGCCCCTTCAGCGGCCGCTGAGAGTACTCGACTTGTCTCGGGCGCGACGCCCCCACCGGAAGCTCGCCTTACCCCTAACCCGTACCGCAATATCCTCTCCACGATTATCCACTCCTATCGTACTGAGGGCCTGTCAGTCTTTTTTCGCGGCCTTGCCCCGACGTTGATTCGGTGAGTATCGACACCTTTGAGAAGTACCATCAGGAAGGAGGAGGAAGCACGCATGGCTAGTGCCATGCAGGAGCATTGCATAATCATACGTGTTTCTTCCCTCCGGGTTACGTATCCAGACATCGTTCTTGCCCTTTTCTGACATTCAACGCATGTCCCGTCTACACCTTTCCCAGCGCCATTCCAGTCAACATGGTCACCTTCGCTACGTTTGAGGGCGTCGTGCATCTTCTGTCATAGCACCTTCTGGACCCCTTTGTGTACTGGACCGATCACATTTTACAACTTGCTTGGATACGAACTCACCACCTCACTACGCACGCAATCGCATAGACACAGAAACACAAGACGCAACGATCCAATTACAACCGATTAATGCTATGTATAATGATACAATGTGCGTGATTCTAGACAGCAAGTGTGCGGGGCGTGTACAAAAATATGCGACAGCAAAACTAGCGATGCCTCCTTTCGAAATTGTGCAGGGAATAACGATATGTGCAGCGGCGGGGTGAGATGCGACGAAGCAGAATAAATACCAACAAAATGCAATATGACCGTCCACCCCTAACTCTCGTCCATGTACACGTCGCCCTCCTCCCTCGCGCGGTCCAGCTCGAGCACGACCTGGTTACCGCCCTCCGCCTGCGCGCGCGAATACAGCTCCTCGCGCTTATTATTGTCGATGGTAAGATTCGCCAGCGTCAACAGCGCCTCCGCGAGCAGGCTCTGCAGATCCTCGTCCTCCTCGCTCAGCATCGTCGACGTCCTTGATCCCTTCGCACGCTCAAAAAACGATATCGCCATCGCAAGGCCCTCGCGCGCCTCCTCCGCATCCTCCGAGCGTAGCACCGCCTCGTCGCCCCGCTCGAGCGCGCTCTCGAGCTCCTCGACCTTCGCCGAGCCCATGATGAGCCAGCACCGCCCGCGCGCGGACGTGATCGGCCCGCGCCACGCGTCCATGTCCACCTCCATCTTCATCTGGTTGAACACCGAGTCCGCCCAAGACGCCCAGTACTGGCGCTCGGGTGCGGCCTCGAGCCGCTCGGCGACGCCGAGGACCTCGGAGGCGATGGTGAAGAGCTCCTTTGGGCGGGAGAAGGACGAGGATTCGGGATTGTGTGTTGACGACGAGCTGCAATGGAAGTGATGTGAATGTGAGCTTTGCGCGTGTGGCATGTGGAAGATGCCGCGCGAGAACTGGTCCATTGCAAGTGTAAGGACATCGTTCGCCGACGCATACGTCAGAGACATGCGTCGAGTGACGGGTGGTCTGCGCTGGGCAATAGCGTGAAATATTGAGTCTGCGGGCCATTTAGGTTCTTCAGCCATGAATGCGTCGTAGCACATGAAAGAGGAGTATTCGGTCCCGGCTTCTTCAGCTTCCTTACGGGCTTGTCGCGACCGCGATATCTTCTCATCGGCTAGACAGACAAGCGTCCGACCCCAGACGATGGCCATCCGCCAGTCCTCTGCCTCCGACCGACCAGCTGTCCGGCTGGGCAGGTTCTCGCCAGTCTCGAAGACGTCCAGTGCAGCAAGCCAGTAGTCTGTAGCATTGCTGGGCTCATTCTTGAGTACTAATGATGAATCTTGGGCGACAAGGTTCCCGAACAGAAACAGGGTAATGCCTAGAATGGCATGGAAGGCTGTTGTCAACTCTCCCCTAGGTTCTCTGAGGCGGCAAATGAGCGTCCAGTTTTGACGGCCGAACAACAAGTCTCTCACCTGCGATACGATATTATTGGGCGCGCGAAGAATCCGTCCTCGTCGTTGTTGAAGCCCCAGTCGCGCGCTAAGCGCTCTTCGGAGGGAGTGAATAATTGCGGTGAGGGCTCGACATCGGTCGTCTCACTCACAAACAGCACGGAGGGATCGTCGTACTGTATTAGGAATCTGTGACATTCTGAGAGCACCTGGCGGAGCATGGGGAGCGTGGCAGCAATATCATCCGCTGCAATTAATCCGTAGATATGAACATCCTAATCGACGACGGCAAAGACAGATGGTGCGCACTCTCATACTGCTCAGCGGCTTTGGCAAAGTCGTCTTTCAATCTCTCCCAAGCCTCGAAATCGCCCGGTGCTCTAACGCTCTCCACCGCAGTCGATGATGAGGGTATGCTCATGATTTCCGGTGATGCTCTCCCACTGTGCACGCCATTATTATCATCGGTTGATGCCGGGCGTGGTCTAGGTTCAGGGTCTCTGCAAGGCGAGACAGCGCCTTCGAACAGGCCAGAACACCGCCGCCGTTTTGAGCTGCCCGACGTCCAGCTGTGAACGTCGTCCTCGTCGTCGTCGTCGTATTCGTCGTCGTAAGAGTTGCGGGCGTCGTCGGTGTCGGAGTCGTGAGCAGGAGCAAGCCTCAGTGGGCCGAAGAGGGCCTGGGAAAATAGCAGGGCGGGTGCCGGCGGCTTCGCCTGTGCCGTACGCGCCTTCCAGATACCGCGGGGACGCTTGAGCGGGGCGCATGCGGGGATGCTGGGCATCGTCGCGAGCATCGTCGAGGACGAGCAGACAGAGCGCGCAGAGCAGCAGGACAGCAGAGAAATCGAATGCGTGCCCGGCGGGGAGACCAGTATAAATCGGAGGAGCAGTGGTCGGGACGTGCCCACGCTCTCATAGATCGAGGCCTGTCTAGTGGCAGGGCCCCAATCATACGCCGGCCGAGGCCTCCCAGCCCTCTACAAATTCTGTCCACTCGGCACCCGACGGCGGCTCCCCCTTTCGGTCTTGTTGGTCCTTGTATAGCAATCCGTCATCTCGACCTGCGTCCAGGCTGTATAGCTTTGCAATGTCTGGCAGAATCCTGCACTCAAGCTATCAAATTTATCCAGCACAGCAGGTGCTCGATATCCCGTTGCTATCACCAGCTTCGTCGCCTCCCGCCCTTCCCCCATTTCTCCAGCAGGAATGCTGTCATCCACTCAAATAGCTCGCGATACGCACCGCGCCGGTTGATTCCGTGATCACTGTCGCCGTCGATTCATCTCAGCCCCCGGTAGCAGGCAAACAAGCACCCACCTGTCGGTAAACATCCTAAACCTGAAGTCCCTGACCTGTGCCCGCGTGAACATGTCCAGCAGGTGCGCCGAATTGGCGAAATGCACGTTATCGTCCCCGCTGCCATGCGCCAACAGGAAGTCCACATTGTGGAACCCAGTCACGTTGGAGATAGACGCGTTGACATAGCCCTCAGGATTCAGGTCGGGCAAGTTCATGTACCGTTCCGTGTATATTGAATCTACAGCGGCGGAAACGACTAGCATCAGCTCTTCCAGTATCTCTGAGTGACACCGGTACTTGCTTACCATACAGGCGCCAGCTCGTCACTGGCTACAGGAATAGGGTCAGATAGGGCTCTCACAATGCCGAGCCGTGCCAAACTTGGCTGCACTTACCGCTACAGCCATAGCCAATGAATGAATCCCAGCGTTAGCTTCCGCTACCTTCGAGCTCATGAATCCACCATATGACTAGTAAGAATCATCATCAGCACGGCTCTTAGCCGCAAGCATGACAAACACCTACCCATCCCCAGATCCCAATACGTTTGGGATCAACATACGCCTTTGCCGCCCACGTCCTGCACGCCGATCGCCCCGGATTAGTCTAGGCTCGACGTCACCCATGAAGCACCCTCACGGACCTAGCGGCGTTTATCTGGTCCTTCGTCTCCCAGAATCCTAGATTCTCGCGAACCGGGTTCCGCAGCTTCCTGCCCTTGAACCCAGTCCCCCTGCCATCGACAACGACGACAATGTACTTGAGTCCGCACACAACATAGTGGTGCCAGTCCCGCTCGAATCGGTTGCTCACCATTTGCGAGCCTGGCCCGCCATACCTGAACCGAGGCACCGAGGAACGTGAGCGTGGGGCAGGCCATGGGACGAACTGCACACGTACACCCGGAATAACACTGGGTACTTTGTCCGCCCTGAATCGTCCATTTTCGGCGGGCGCATCTCCAGAACGTTCAGCTCTGTTCGTACGAGGGGGGCAGGGTCATCAGATGCCCTGCGTTCAACGAAAATGCCGGACTGACCATAACCATCGCTGTCGATCGTCGAGTGGGAAATTATCGGCGACTCGTACTGCTCGTACGTCCGATTGAGCTGGGCATTGTCCGTGAGCACGTAATTGAACGCTGGCGGCGATAGACAGTAACAATCAGTATATCACAGCTCCAAGTTGATCGGAGCAGGTCCGCTTACACTCATTGCTAACTTGGAGGATCTTTTGCCATGGGATCCCTGGGCCTTGGTAACTAAGCAGGTAGAACCCCGCATTTGGTGAGAAGTGGGCGTCGTAATAGGCCGGGACCGACAAGTCTGTCAGGTCGGTAGGGGCTCCAGCCTTATGAGATGCGACAGATGAAGGGAGTTGTACGGCAGATATATGGCGATCAGTAGATGGGCGAGCCGCTTGGAAGTAGCTGTACAAAGGCCCGGTAAGCGGGTAAGCCGCGAAACCCAGGGATGTTTCTTACATTGTACCATTCTTGTCCACACCCAAGATATTACCAGTGACTTCCCACTCCCCAGTCGTCAGGAAGACGGGCTTGCTGGAGTCTGCAGGGCTGAATAATGCAATGTGGTTGTAGCCTTTCGCATCCGGGACAATGTCCAGATATGCCGGCGCACCCGACCCGCCTGGACCGAGATTGCTGGACAAGGGGTATATATTCTGAGCCTTAAGACAGGTAGCGACCACGATCAGGACTTGTAACGAAGCTGAACAAATACCAGAACGTACGCTATCAATCCAACCTCCATCCCATTCCTCGGAATCTTTTCCAAGTGTTCTAACGACCTTTCCAATGTTGGCGCGAGCACTTTGGCTAAGGTCGAACAATACGACGCTTCCTCGGTCGGCGGCCCTGTTAACTTCCTTCACAAGTAAGGTTTGGTTCGCTATCCAGGCCACCTCCTGAACGATGCTGTCTTGTGGTCGCTGACGGTCTGACCAGTCAAGAGTCAAAGTCAAGGACGATACTGCCGCGGGCCGTGTCCTGTCCTCTTCGTCGAACTCGCCGTCCAAGTACTTGTCTAGCTCGAAGACGCGGATATTAACTAGCGGGTTCTTGTAGCCCGGCTTTGGATACTTGACTTTGACGTCCTGAGTGTAAGGCACGACCTTGTAGCTGTCCTCCGTGGGGTTATAAATAGGAAATGAGAACACGTCCACGTCCGTCTCGTCGAAAGACAAGTATGCAAGGCTATTAGAGTCGGGAGACCACCAGAGCGTGTGATCGGCACCGTATACTTCCTCTTCGTACACCCAGTCGGGCACGCCGTGGATGAGAGTCTCGTTCCCTGTGAAAGTCAGGCGGATAGGAGCCGGTAGGGAGGATGACGAGGAGGTGAATAGTGCGGAGAGGGAAGGGATTATGTAGATATCATTAGAAGAAACGTAGGCTATGGATAATCCAGAAGGAGAGAACGTCGCGTAAGAGGTCACTGGTGGATTGGAAGGGGTGTGCAGCGGGACGGTGGTCTTGTCGCGGATGGAATGCAAGTAGTAGTTGCCCAGGGAGGAATGGCGCCATTGCTGTCAATTATTATGAGGCAATACGGGTACATCAGGTAGGGGCGTTTGGCGCGGTAAATGGAACGAACCTTCCGGTAGTTAGTCTTGATCAGCATGTACTGCATGTCCGCTGAGACCCTCCACTCGGACCAACCCAATTGTCTCCCGTGCTCCTGGTAAGCAGAGCATTAGATACGTGGTACGCCAAGTAACCAAGACGCAGTGAACGTACGTCCTTGACGTCTGACCTAGCGACTAGATTCTCGGTCCTATTCGTTTTCAGGTCTACAAGCTTGATGTAGCCGCCCTCGAAAATCGAAAACACGCCATCACCAGCTACACATCGCAATAATGTCAACTCAAATAATAATTTTTAGGAGACAGACCATGTCCTCGTAGGACTAACGCGAATAGCATTTCCGTGCGTAAGAGCACAGCCTCTTACCTTCGGGTATCCAACGCACACCTTGTCTGTCCACTGAGAATGTACCATTAAATATATGATCCATTGTAATATGCTGTGCACCGGGGACATGGTACGACGAGCCCGAATATTTCCGGGCTGCCAGAGCACCTATTAGTGCAGCCAGCAGTACAAGGGATACGAGGCATATGACAAGCCAGCGTAACGAGGAGGGACGCTACCATACCGCCGCATTTAGTATACTGTCACAACTGCAAGGAAACCATACCGCACTTTCCTGTCACCGCCGACAGTTAGCAGGCCGTCTTCAGTGTACATGCCATTAGGACCTCGCTCAGCGATTCCTGGAGAGCTCGGCAGTTTGGGTGATTTCTCCAGGAGACCTTCATCTTCCTCCTCGGAGCTTGGGGGATCAAAAGGACCGTCGCCGTAGTAAGTTGGTGGCCTAATTGGCGTGGTGTGCCTTCGTCCATCCTGAGAGGGCGCGTCCACGAGCTGGCCCTCGTCTACTTCTTGAGACACCCGCTCGTACGATGCGCCGTTCATACTCGCTTGAGTATTAGACTAGTCCGAGGGGCTGACCGCACAATACACTTGATGAGTCCAAGCAAGCCTGCTGAATGACGTGCAAGTCTCCGGCGAGGACTATCACATATGTCTAGACTGCCGGCTTCGCCAGCGATTTAGAGACACTTTTAGAGGCCCAGCTGTTGTGCTCTTGCTTTATCCGTCGGTCTTGGATGATAGGTACTTAGTAGTGGCACGCGGTTGAACTTGGAGGACGGTGACGCGCAGCCGTCGAGTTACTTAGCAAGCGGAGATCTGTTCGGAAGGGGACGATAATTACTACATTGATGTTTTCTCTAGAATATTTAGCTAGCTACTGGTAATTATAATCACTCGCGTTTCTGCATAATATTGGGAAAACTAATACCTTGGTTTCCGACCGCCATTCGGTTCAGCGGCCTCATGTCATGGCCCCCTCTAAGCCATCGAATACTTGGGATCCGGTCTTAATCATCTCCCAGGCGAGTATACGAAATCTTTCGTTATATTTCTGTCGAGCTCAAGTCAGCCGATCCTGGTAGATTGTGGCCATGCAAACGCTGCACTATCTCACGTTGTCTCTAATAACGCCCCCTTTACTAGCAGTCTTCGCGGACCCGGATTCTCTAGAATTCGAAGGGGGTGCGGCTAATGTAGGTGCGTTTTTCCTTGGGCTGACAGGACCGTAGTGAATGCCTGCATCGTAGGTATGATCATGGACTGGCGTCAAATGACAGGTCGACCCACTGCACAAGCTGATACATGGGGTCTGGGCTCTTGGAGTGGGGGACGCAAGCTCGACGAATCCGCTGGTAGCTCACTACCCATGCTTGAAGGAGGGTGGAAAGCAGATCCTGTGAGAGGATGGGTCATCGCGTTTGGATGGATTATTGCATCGGGTATCGAGTTGAGTACCGACCACATGACTGTACAGACGGAAGCGACTCATAACGCCTGCTCGCACCCTTTGTAGCGTCTACTGGCTTTCGACGGTGGTCCGGCGGCCCCGCCTTATCTTGGACTTCGCTTTGACCCTCGTATTCAACCACTTGGTACTCACGACATATTATGCCGCATCTTTGCCGACGTCTCTATTCTTCTGGATTGTCATGGTAGCATGCTCCACCATCTTGGTGGTGGCCGGAGAGCAGGTGTGCGTCCGTCGAGAAATGAGGGAGGGCATGAGTGTAATTGGAGTCGGACAAGCAGACGAGACGGGAAGGTTGACGGAGGAGATGGAATTAGGAGACGTCCGAGGTAGATCATCGGATTAGGCGTTTCAGGGCGATACCTGCCTGGTATACATGGTATCTCTTTGCTTGGGATATTGATTGTATGCGCCAGGTGCAAAGAGTTGTAGTAGACCAACCGGTGAGTCCCTCTATTTCTCTGTGAGGGGAAGCGTCGCGCTATATGCCCCCAAGAAATCTGCCTGGGGCACGGCTCGTCAAGAGTGGCACCGCAGCTCTCCTCGCAGACACGTCATGAACAGCCTGGCGTCAAGAAGGGCGGCACTGTCAGATAGGCTTTCTTCGGGCCTACTCCTGTTCCTTCCACATCGTCTCAGGAATGATCAAGTCATTTCGAACTTCGGATAAGCAGATTATTACGCTAACGCTCGGTCTCATTAATAGATATTACTTGCTTTCACTGAAGATGGCGTGGAGGCCCACTCAGTTCCGTATGGCAAGGTCCGATTTTCTGGCCCCAGCCTGCCACCGTCACTTTGTCGTGTCGTATCCAGAACGAGCTTGGAGCTTTAATGAAGGACGGACCCGCTTCCTGCTCCATCACCCCACGGCTCCGACATCCCGCCATCTGTACTGATAAGGAACAGATGGCTTCGATTAAATGGTCTGGTATACCAGTCTACCAAGTACATCTCAGGAGTACCTTGGGGAATCGTTATGGCAACGTGCTCCACTAAAGATGTGAAAACCTCTTCGCCCCGTTCTATGGGTGTATCTTTCCTTTGGCGTTCTGGTGCAGCCTCTGTTGGGTTTCTAGGCTAACCGCTACAAAAATGTGAGCTTATCCTGTTTGACCATTGAACGAATGTCTCTGCGTGGTATCATGATCTCCGTTCACTCTATGCGTATACATGGTGGACGTCAATTTGCTCCAGAAGGATACCTAAGGTAAAGGAATCCCGTGGGACTAGAATATAAAATGTCGCGAGCGGAGCTTGCAAAGTAAGTCCTGGTTCATTTCGGGGATCCAGGGAGCTTAAACATCCTTCCATTTGCATCAACTTTAGACTCATTGCTCCTTATCACCGACTAAAAGCGAATTGTTCGTGAAAAGGTGCTCCTATGCGCATGACGCAGGGACCACTTTTATTGCTCTATGTTATATATCGTCAATGCACAACTAAAGGGTGGTGCAAGCTTTCAACCGATTACTGCTCGACTACGAAAGGGAAGCAAGTTCGGTCCTCGTGCGAAGCTCTAGCGGCTATATCATTCTGCACCTCTGCCTTCTTTCGTCCGGTCCCTGGTACTCTATGATCACCGCTTGTCTTGTTCCATATTCGTGAGAACTGGTAAGTGATTCTTCTTGAATGCTGCCGCGTCAGAGATTACTCTGGGGTGTCACAGGTTGCCAAGTACGCGTTGATATAGCACCAAGCTGACCCTTGTGATGCCTCAAATGAATGCAGAAAACCTGTGCTACTCGTATCTACAGTGAGTCAGTATATATGGTAGTCAAACCTTGCGTAATTGAAGTATTCGCACTCCAGGGGTCCCCTATTCTCCATGTCCCACTCTGTACATCCCGTGCGAGCACGGGCGATCGGAGCAAGTTTAGATTAAATTCAATGTTCTTCGCGGCCCCAAGGACTAACGTCTGCCAGAACTGGGCCGCATGTGGACAGATTTTCGACGAGAAAATGATTCATCAGCTCAAGAGTGCAGCCAGTCACAGGTTGTTCGTGCTGGCCCAATACCTTGGGCCAAGACATTGAAATAGTACTCCACATGCCGGACTTGGAGACAAGACGTTGCCCGCAAGGCAAGGTCATACTTACATCCGCCCGATAGACGCCGAGTGGTTAGCGACCAAAAATGTCCTTTGTCGACATCATGCATTATAATTACGGAAAGCGCGACGCAGGCTATAGAAGGTCCGAACGGAGGTACGTGAGGTAGTAGATTTGTTTGTTACGGCAGACGGTCACTATGCTCGTCCATATCATCATAATAGCAGGGAGGTCGACGACACGTACGCATGTATCGTATCGTTTTACGGGCTGTTCATCTCTTCCTAAAGGTTCCGCGCTCGGAACCTACGGTCCGTTACGCGCTCGTGTGGCGCGCAAAAGGATGTAATGAGACGTTCGTCTGGTGAGTTCAGTCCGTATTGTGCACACATTAACTCCAGCTCGGTTTCCGATGGGTCATTTACGTGCTTGCGATCATTCATGCTTCCAGGGTTAAGGGGATCGAGGTCGAGTGAGTATTAGCTCTTCCAGCCAGCTGCCTGCATGGGGGTTGTGAGCGCATGCGTGTTTGGCAAGACCTCAACGAAGTAACCTGACTCGACTGGTACCACAGTCAGACGTATCCCACAGATCAGCGTTTCTTGGCTGACTCCGCCATGAATAGTGCATACTACGCCTATTGTCCTGATGAATCATCGATGGGCCGTGCGTTATTCTTACGCTAAACTTAATGTCGCGGATAACTCTGAAGACTTGTTCAGGTCGAATGGACGCATTGTGTCGTCATCAAATTCTTGTGGTCCTCTCGGGCTTACATGTGGAGTCAAGTACAGCTATGCTATGGAAGCGACTTCTGCAGTTGGGCAACATCCGCAATCTCGTTTCGGCGATACTGGTGAGCCCGTCCTCTCTTTTTATTGATATCTATTCCCATGCTTCCACAACATCTATTTTGTTCTCCGCCCAGCACGGAGCTGAAGCATTCACTGATTGATTCTTCTCGGGATTAGACCCGCGATCTGTACAAACTGATATGACTGGAATGCACGTCCCTGGCATATGCGGGTCTGTATGAACCTAGGTTTGTCATCTCAAGTCAGCGCAACTGATCGGCGGACGGTCATGGCTGAGAGGTGTGTCCATGACCCGCTTTCGGTACGGCAGATTCTTGTCTGATGGTGATTTCACGTTGCATCTGTTGCCCTAGATAATGAGGAGTATGCACGCAGCCATCGGGAAGAACTTAAGACGTCAATAACTAGCCAAAGCACGTCTGGCCCCTCGAGACTTCTACCGTCGGGAAAGATAATCTCGTGGACGAGGGACGGCTGCGCACGACAAATTCAGATCTCGGTTCTCATCCAAGCAGATTACATACTCTCACAGACGTCCAATGATCAGCACTTCGGTCACGTTTTGGCGACCATTGCCTGAACTAAAGTTCTAAGCACCCATAATGAGCGGCGGGAGTCGAGAACAGTCTTCGAGATGCAGGAGAGCGTGCAGCAGACCGGAAAGGCTGCTACAACGGTTCGGATTTGCCGCCGAATGTCCGCTATATTGAACTAACGTTACATGATGTCGGGCAATGAGTTGGTCCTGTTTCGTTTTCGCCGGGACACGTGTCGATGACTTGAAGTTATGAGGGCGTTACCAGTATGATTTGATTTCTGCTTCTAGAGACGTGTCTATGACCGATTTGCAGGCCATGAACTAAGGAGTAACGGGCAAGCAGGTTGCTTGCGTGGCTTTGCGTTGCAGCGAGTTTTGATAGGTAAGGAGGGACAACTGAGAAATCCGGACATACACGAGGCGCTCAAGGCCCTGAATATAATGACAAGTCCAAGCGGTGCCGCATTCGAAGTACTGAATGGCCAAATTAGGAAACCTCATTTAGTGACCTGCTTCCCAGTCTCGCTCGCGCGGACCACTGTGGACCAACCTCTGACCGACACAGTCACAAACAAAGGATCATGAGTTGGCAGAAGCAATGTATGAATGCGGGCTTGGACAAAGGGCTGTGAGTCTTATCGTCTCGCGACCTTCACTCTGAAACTGTTGCCTGAGATCTTAAGTAGTCTCCCGATCGCACGCTTAGCAGTTAGCGTACGTCAGGGCTACTGACCTTCCTGTCCGGATTCTAACCGAACTGATGTCTTCCAGTGAACCATCTGACGGCACGAGGCGCCCTCCTAACGTTATATAAGGAGCCGTACATTCCCGGGAATACCTGTCTGGTTCCCCCCCGCTTGTCAAGCTACTACTCTCCTGGATATGGAGGCATTCAAGAGTTTGCTCAGCCCACTGGGCATGCAGACTTCAAACGCCATTCAAGACACCTTAGTACGTCTTCAACTACTTGTGTCGCTGTTATTGAGTTTAACCCTCTGTCGCTTAGAAATTGGTCGTCCTAGGGGGCACCGTTGAGACGGCTAGGCGAATGTCCGCTTCAGCATGGAATGGTTTCGTAGAATGTACGCACTCGTTCCTTTGTTCCGACTATAGTGCTCATGCTTGTAACAGCATTCTTCTTGACAGCTCACTTCAGTCAAGAGGACTATCCGCACGACTGGTAAGTATCGCTACTTTGTATCACATTCTCGACGCTGAGTGCCCCACAGGTTAATGCATTGGCTTTCCAAGGTGTGCACGACACATATCACTTATGTTGCGCAGCCCAGCTGACAGGATGCTCAGCAACCAGCATGGGGACGCAGCCGGGAATTTGACATAACCACTCGGACCGTAGGCCGCAATACGATCACCACCACGACTGCGGGCGACTTGGAGGAGGACGAGGATGAGAGTGACGAAGTTTTGGTTCACGGACGTAAGAAGCGGAAAGTGGCCTTCATGCCAAGCATGGGTAAGACGTGTCCTTCTTTGCCTAAACTTCTCTATTGACTTTCCACCGACGATGTGAATTAGACACGACACATACAATTTACTACCACGGTCATTGGCTCCGCGTGAGGATCTGCGAGTGACTGACGTACAAATGGGTGTGACTAATCTCCTATCTTCAGATAACTCGATCCAAACGCTGTCAGGACTATGGCTACTGTTCCGAGCTCAAGATTAGGTGAGTCTTCGCATCAAATCGGTAACCTTTCTCAGTGTACGGAACCTCTTTGGGACAGCGTGGTAGCGCGCAGTAATGATATCCTAAAGAAGCTCGTACTTGAGGCAAAGCGGGAATATGAGAAAGACGCCGAGCATCGCGTTCACATATTCATGGCAGACACGTGAGTAACTTTACCGGTAGCAATCATCCAATGCCCTTCTGACCCGTGCCTCTTTACAGGAGCTACGGCTGCTGGCGGTGGAATGGCGCTCGTCAGAAGCGCCCAATGAGCTCGATAGTTCTCGAGCCCGGCGTGAAGGAGATGCTGCTCTCAGACTGCAAGGATTTCTTGCAGTCAGAAGATTGGTGAGTTAGTCTTTTGAAGTCGTGTTGCCGACGTTGATGAACCCACGCATCTTAGGTACGCTGAAAGAGGTATTGGATTTCCGGTGCTGTAATTTGGTCTGGGCGAGACTCAGCATCTTACCAGGTATCCCCTTCCGTAGAGGGTATTTGCTTTACGGAGTCCCCGGAAGGTGGGTCGACGTCCCGAGAAACCCGTCTGCATGACTGACTGGGTTGTCTTCAGCGGCAAGACATCTTTGATTCATTCACTAGCCGGAGAGCTCGGGCTCGATATATACGTTGTCAGCTTATCCTCTAAGGGGTATGTTCATCATCCAGATATTCTGAGAAGGGTCGCTAATATCACCTTCATAATACAAGTATGAGCGATAATACGTTAGCGAATTTGATGGGAAATGTACCATCAAGGTGAGTGGGCACGTGGTCACGGTCGCATTTGTCGGGCACTAATATCTTTCCGTACCTGCCAGATGTATCTTGCTTCTTGAGGATCTCGATGCTGCTTTCACACGATCTGTTTCCCGTGATTCTGGCTCTACTGGCGCACCTCCGGCCTCAGGCACGGCCACGGCTAGCGAGACCAAAGACCAAGCTAGTGATGGATCTACTTTAAGTCTGAGCGGCCTACTGAACAGTCTTGATGGCGTCGCAGCTGCTGAGGGCCGGTACGTCACTCGCCACCGATCCGCATTCGCGAGTTGCTCAGTGGCGTCACTACAGCTTGCTCTTCGCAACCACTAACCATATCGAGAGGCTCGACCCGGCTCTCAGTCGCCCGGGGCGTATGGATGTATGGGTGAACTTCAAGCACGCGACTAAGTTCCAAGCAGAAGGGATCTTCAAGTGCTTCTTCCCGTGCAAGAAGTCGGCCGCGGGTGCCGCTTTGTCCCAGACGCCGTCTTCATGCCAAACGCCGTCTTCATGCCAAACGCCGTCTTCATGCCAAACGCCGTCTTCATGCCAAACGCCGTCTTCGTTCCAGACACCGTCTTCATCCAAAACGTCGTCTTCGACTCCGTCGGCGGATGACGTTTCGCAGACCAATGTGCCTGGTTCGAAGCGGAAGCCGCACATTGTTAACCTCCTGAGCGAGGAGGAGATTTCCGGACTAGCTAAACGTTTCGCAGATGCCATCCCCGAGGACGAGCTCAGTGTAAGTTTTATGCTGCTTTCCTGCCTTCTACCTGACATACGTCAACAGGTCGCCGCTCTGCAAGGCTATCTACTGAAGAACAAGACACGTCCGAGGGAGTGTGTAGATGAGGTTCACGAATGGATCAAACAAGAGCGCGAGACGAGAGATAGACTTAAGAAGGAGAAAGAGGAGGTTCGTGCATTCTTCTCCCTTTCTCCCGCTGTTACTTAATCCCTGTCGGCACGCAGAAAGAAGCAAAGGAGAAGAAAGAAGTGAGTGTGACTGATCTCCTGCGCGCGTGCGGTTGTTGACGCGACCCGTCAGGCGGAGGAGAAAGAACGCAAAGAGGTACGTCAATGGCTTGTGTGACAACGCGGTTCTACTCACTCAATAACCAGAAGGAGGAGAAGACTACCAAGGAGGTAAGGACCAAAGACTTATGATAGGTGGATGATTCACGTATGCTCTCTACCGTACTGTTCAGAAGGAGGAGAAGGAAGCTAAGGAGGTGAGATCTTCGTCGGTCTGACCATGCTATCCGCGGTTTGACGGCCTCTCATAGAAAGCCGAAAGGGCTGAGAAGAAAGAAGCCAGGCTGAAATCTAAACGAATGTCGTCGCGTTCTGTGGAGGTCACATCCTCCAAGGCTGAGACTCCTACGTCTGATGTTGCGGTTTCGCCAGTGGAGGAATCTTCATCTGAATCATCAAGTTCTGAGGTGGACGGCACGAGCACCGGTGCGGATGCCGATACGGAGGAGAGTGTCACGTCAGAGGAAGAGACGGAGAAGCCAATGGAAACTCAAGAGCCTGCAAAAGATGCCAAGGAGAAATGGGTTGCTGTCAAAGGTCAACAGACCGCGACTCCTGAAGTAAACGCCAAAGCCTGTGCGTGAAGATCTCAAGTCTTATGTCTATTCCTTTCCTTGCCCTCTTGGTCTTGCTTGTGCCGTCTTAGGACGTCAGCGTTGGGATACTTCTGTAGATGACTACTTTTTGTGCACCGCAATAACTGCTTTTCGATACACCGCATGCAATAGACATCTTTTGACCTCTTGATCCGCAAAAGCTCAAGCTGCTTCAGCCGAGGGACGTTTATTGTGGTGTACATTTTCGGAGTGTGACACCGGCTTCATGGTGTGACAGACTGCCGCGGCGACGCGCCTCCGGAGTATGGCCTCGCGTAGGGCGTACACTTGCTTGCCGACAGTCACTAACACTCGCTTGCCCGAGGTGGTTTTGTTTTGTTCTGCCTGCCAACATGGATGCCGACCTCATAAAGCTCGTGAACAAGCTCCAGGACACCTTCCATAACCTTGGTACGCGGTTCTTCCGTGAAAATCCGATCTGCAGATAGCTCAAATGTTCGTGAAGGAGGGGAGCTGGACATGCCACAGCTGGCTGTGGTAAGTGGCTGTTTTTCTCGTGTGGAATACAAGTAGGTGATTATGATTGTACTTGCAACGTTAGGTAGGCAGTCAGTCCTCGGGCAAGTCCAGTGTTCTTGAAACGTACGCGCTTTGGTCTTCCGCTACCCGAGCGAGCACCTGACCCTCGTTCCTCTAGTATCGTCGGCCGCGATTTTCTACCCCGAGGACAAGGCATTGTTACGAGACGACCTTTGGTCCTACAACTCATTCATACTCCCGCTACCGAGGGCTCTTCATATACGGAGTGGGGTCAATTCTTGCATATAGACAAGCGGTTTACGGACTTCGAAGACATACGAAAGGAGATTGAGCAGGAGACGTTCCGAGTCGCGGGTCAGAACAAAGGGATTAGCAAGTTACCCATCCATTTACGGATATACAGTCCCAATGTCCTGGACTTAACCCTGGTTGATCTTCCTGGTTTAACGAAGGTATGCACCTGCCATCTACTCAATGGACACTTGTTTCTCATCCGACTTCCAGATTCCTGTAGGTGATCAACCGAGCGACATTGAGAAGCAGATTCGGAATCTGGTCTTGGAGTATATCTCGAAGCCAAACTGGCATGTCCACTCTTTGTGTCGATTTTATATAGCTAACGACGTGTCTAGCGTCATTCTTGCTGTCTCTGCTGCGAATGTGGATTTGGCCAATTCAGAAGCTCTGAAACTCGCGCGTACGGTGGATCCCCAAGGTCGCCGTACCATCGGTGTACTCACTAAACTGGACTTGATGGACGCCGGCACGAACGCGTTGGACGTCCTTACCGGACGCGTCTATCCTCTGAAATTGGGCTTCATAGGAGTGGTCAACCGGAGTCAACAGGATATCAATGAGGGCAAACCCATGGAAGATGCGTTAAACAGGGAGACGGAATTTTTTACGACTCATCCTGCGTATAGGAATATTGCGCACAAGAATGGAACGAAGTACCTTGCAAGGACACTAAATCAGGTATGTGTGGCGACGGGTGGTAGGGTGCGTCGGAGTCCTGATCATCGTTCAGGTCTTAATGAACCATATACGAGACAAGCTACCTGATATGAAAGCGCGCTTGAATACCCTCATCGGTCAGGCGCAGCAAGAACTCAACTCATTCGGCGACCCCTCCCTCTTCGGCGACAAAAATCAGGTAATCCATCCTCTTAATCTCATGATCTCTTGTGTCAACCTCTGAACTATCACAGCAAGGAGCACTAATCCTCCGGCTAATGACCCAATTCGCGCGCGATTTCGTCTCTTCGATTGAAGGTACCAACCTGAACATCTCTACTAAAGAGCTCTCAGGAGGCGCACGGATATACTACATTTTCAATGACGTCTTCGGAACCGCTCTTGCTTCTCTCGATTCGTCACAAAACCTAGAGACCCAAGATATCCGGACCGCCATAAGGAATAGTACGGGTCCTCGGCCCAGCCTGTTCGTTCCCGAAGCGGCGTTCGATCTGTTAGTGAAGCCGCAGATTAAGTTGCTGGAAGGGCCCGCGCTCCGCTGTGTGGAACTGGTGTACGAGGAACTCGTTAAAATCTGTCATAGCTGCACAAGCACGGTGAGCTCAGCTATCCCTGCAAGATGAGATCATTATTTACACGACCGATAAAATCTAGGAGCTCCAACGTTTCCCTCGATTGCACTCACAGGTCGTGGATGTTGTCTCCGACCTGCTGCGCGAACGTCTCGGGCCGACGTCTGAGTACACTCAAAGCCTGATAGACATCCAGGCCGCATACATCAACACAAACCATCCTGCATTCGTGCAGGGATCAGCGGAAGCAGCCAGAAATGTAGCTAATGCTCCGCCGAAACAACCTGCGCCTCCTCGGGTAAGCCACTTTCTGCGGCATTTGTATAGCATATACTGACGTCGGACAAAGCCGGCTTCTACTGAGCCAGTGAACGGGAACGGGCACGCTGTCGAGGATGAAGATGAATCTGGAGAGGAAGCACCAGGTAGTATCAACGGCATTCCAACGTCTCGAGATGGTCGTTCGGTGTCTTCTACCGTCCATGACCGGTCACGTACGAGCGCTGCAACTCTCGGGAAAGCAGCGGGGCAAGGAATCTCGCAACCTAAGCCCTCACATCACCACACACATCCGCGACACTCTACACCCGGTCCCCGGTCTACTTCGCCCCAATCAACGCGGGAGACGTTTTTGAACTATTTCTTCGGGCAGAATGGTCCCGGTCCATTGTCAGGTGCGGCTGCGAGCGCGACGGTCAACGGCTACGAGCGCACCACAGTTGCGACCAGCGGGCCATCAGGAACGACTATCGTCTCCACAGGGAAAGAGGTTGGTACTCCAGGAGAGAACCCCATGCCGACTGGCTTAATGGCGGGGAGGCGAGATGCAGCCTTTGACATGAGAAGCCTGGGAAGGCATATCGAAGCTGTATGTTCCCTTACTGTGATTGATGGCATCGACGCCTATTCTCATCGCTCTGTATTTCAGGCCTCTCTTGATGGAGGAAGCCAGCTAACGATGCGGGAAGAGATGGAGACATCGTTGATTCGATCTCTCATCGCATCATACTTCAACATCGTTCGTCAGAGCATCCAGGATTTGGTCCCCAAGGCTATCATGCATTTCCTGGTCAATCATACATCACAGCAAGTTCAAAACCGTCTCGTCGCATCTTTATACAAGCCGGAGATATTCGGCGACTTGCTCGACGAAGACGAGGCGCTGGTCGCTGAGCGTACCCGTGTGAAGGCACTCTTGGATGCGTACAGGGACGCATTCAAGACGCTGTCGGAGGTCAACCTCAAGCCTTCATGAGATCGGATCCAGTATAGAACATTGTTTACGCCTGTAATGCCGCTGTCATGCCCGTAGCTAGTTCTTGGTATTTAATACACAGTACTTAATCCGCCGCTCATTTCTGGTGCGCTTCTTTGCGTAGTGAGGTGGAGGGATATTCTATACCATATACTCGAAGAAAGGATTCCTATACACGTATGTCAAATGAGGTGGTGTAATCACTGGCTGACGTCTACTCACTGTTTATCCGTTAGATCCATGAATGCGTGACGCTCCCTCTCCCGCTGCATGTCCGCATCACTCCATTCGTGTTGAATTTTGAGATCGCGCAGCTTCGCCTGTTTCTTCTTGTTCAAGCGGACATTCATCCACCGTAACATGAACGGGATGAAAAATCCTACAGCATACATGACCATTACGGCAATCTTGCCGGGTATGTACTGGGGAGCGTCTTTGGACTGCATTATTTCCGTACCAATGACATTGCCTAAACTGAAGGTGAAGAGCGTTAATGCGTTGATTGTTGACTAGGTGAGGGGGGACGTTAGCAATGCTGGGGTCCTGACAAAGGAAACTGCACATACTTTCTTCGTGTGGCCGCTGGTATTGCTAGCATTGTAAGTGTAAACAAGCGACAGGCTTGGGCCGATAGTTCCCATCAGGTACGACCCTACTCGGGAGTTGAAGATGGAGTACAGAAATGATACAGCAAGAAGCTCACCTAGTAGTAGGACACCCTTGTTCCCTGAATTTGCTAATCCGACTAGGAGAGCTAAAGACCCGATGTCAGTGAATGCATAGCACACACTTTCCCAACTGCTCTCCTACCTGAACCGATAATCGTTGGGATGAGGGCAATAATAATCGGCAGCATCCGCTCTTTCTGTGCGCAAGTGAGTATTTAGCTATCGTATGGAATGATGCAACATAGTCACCTTTCTGTCAGAATACCACCCGACGAATAGGGTCATGGCGGCGCCGATGAATCCCCCAGGAGCATTGAGGATAAGGGTCTGCTTTGTCCTAATAATGCATATGAGCAGGCAAAATGGAGGACAGGAGATTTATTACGGACGTGTATCCGAAGCTTTTGACGATAATATTGCTAACTAGGGTGGAATCATTAAATATAAACCGTACGATCAGTCCTAGGGGATACTCACAGGCGCTCAGGGCACCATTCGGTATACTGGCTATGCGGAAGTCAGCTTCAATACGACCGCTTACTTACGCATACACCCACCTAATACCAGGGTCAACAAGACAATAAGCCACGTCCTTACGTCCGTCAGCGCCTCGACGACCTGGTCCTTCTTGAGCGTCTTCGACTCCGTGCCGCCCTGGCCGTCGCGCACGCGCTCGAGCGCCGCGATGCGCTCCTCGCGCGTGAGCATTCGCGCGTGCACGGGAGAGTCCGGCATCCATATGAGCACGCATATACCCACTATGATGGCGAGTCCGCCGATGAGGAGGTAAAGGATCCGGTAGGGGAGAAAGTGGGTGCCTGTGTAGTAGGTGATTCCCTGAATGCGGGGTTTCAGTGGTAAGGATTGTCCAAGGGAGTTTGAGGGCTTACGTATGCGACGAAGCCGCCAAATATGGCGGTCAGCCCGTTCTACTGGGTTGTCAGATGGGTACTCACGGGAAAGGCGGCATAGTAGCTACCATGACGTAGAACCAAGCAATCCTCAGGCCCTGGAGTTACGATATCAGCAAGTGACCGGTGACGGGTCATCGAAACTTACTTGCTCCTCTTTCTTGTAAAACATAGATATAATAAGGATAAGGATGGGTGCTACGCAGCTCTCAAGCATGCCTTTAAAAATAACGGGGAAATAGTCAGCATATCCGCACGAGTATGCTCTCCTCAAAACGTACCGAGGATAAATCGCAGGAAGAAGAAAACGCCAAACGACGTCGTGGCCGCATGGAGCATGAGGACCGCCCCCCATAAGACGATGTTCGCGCCTGCACAGGCGGCCCAAGTCAGAGTGTGTCCGAATCCGAATCCGAAAAGGCAGCGGATAGACTCGGACGCTTACCCAGGTATTTGCCTGCTCGCAGTTTCTGGGAGATGTAGACGGTGGGGAATTCCCAGGTAAGGTACCCTAAACGCGCAGCGCATAAGGGGCGAGTGACAGGAAATGCAGCGGGGAGGAACGTACCTAGGTAGAAAGCCATCGCTACGAGGTTGTAATGCTGAGCGGCAGCGAGGATTGGTAGAGAGCATCAGGGGGCAGTTAGAAGGACTTACTTGACCGGTGATTGGGAGACCCATAATACTAGTCTCGTGTATCAGACTACGCCACGGTCAGTAGTCAGCGACACGGACCTTGCATAATTTAACGTGTTCTTGTCTCTGCAGCCATGGTCACTCGGCGACTAGAGGACACGCAGCGGTTCGCTACTCACAAGTATTGCGTGAAGTACACAGCCGAGCACAGCGGCGGGATAACCCAGTCCTGTGGCCGACAGCGATTTAGAGGAAGTTCAGATACTAACGGAGTTTCCTACCAGTCTTCTCTTGAGTTTCTGGTAGTATTCTTCACTGAACTCTGCGGATCGTTGTTTACCGACCAGGCGCAGAGCTTCGTCGCCTTTAGAGGCATCATTGTCCTCCACTGACGATATTTCGAGAGAGACATCGCCTTCTACCTCTTTCTTCTCGTCCATGGCATGAGCCTCGTCATGGGGCATCCTTTTCTCGAGGTGGTCCACGACAACTGATTCCACCGCCGAAGCCACTGTGCAGAGACAATCGGATAGAGCTACAGTGGGGAGAAAGGAGGATAACCTGAGGCCGACGAGACACCCAGCTGCGTCTTATCATCCCGAGGTTTTACTTCTCCAGGCACTGTATCTCCACCCTCTCTCTGAGCCCTCACGTATATTTGGCTATCGCGGTTGGTGAGGAGACTGGAGCAAACGATATCCCGCACCAATGCCTGATAACAAAGCGAGCACTCAGTAGTAGACTGTTATCAGAACCAGCCAAGAGGGGGTTATAAATAACGGTGCGAATCTGTGTGGTGCTTCTCATACCTTAGGGTCTTGTGCACCTTCTGGCGCGTACGACCTGCGTCTCCGGGGTGGCGCTAGATTGGGGTACGTCCAGGAAAGGTAGGAGCTAGCGTAAAGTCAGCTGTATACGCAGGGGAAACGGTAAAAGGTGGGAAATTCACCTCGGTGCATGATGGACCGGGAACAGCGCAAGGTCGCCCGGAGAAGGGCCCTTTCATCGCTATGTGGACATGGTTCAGCGCAACTAACCATATACGTTAGCAGTACTACTTCAAAGTAGATGAGATAGAGTTGCCAGTGCTGTCCAGATATGCTTCACAGGCACAGAAGCAGTATAGACAGTAAGTAAGAGTGACCGGGACTGTAACCTGAAGGGCGAACTTAGCGAGCCGGACCGCGATGCCGTGACAAGGATCGCGACTGTCGAGATGATGACTTGCAAATGTTAGGGGACGGGTCCCAAATGTGGTAAGAGTTCTACCAGATCGAGACGGACCAGAGCTCTTCGTAGAAGTTGTTCTGCTTGAACCAGGTATTAAGTATTGCTCGATTGTAGACAGTCCCTTCACATATGATATATGGACTTACTCTTCACATTCATGGACTCTCCCCACTATAAAAGACGGTCTCCCCATCTTGCGGAGCAGTTCCCTTTCTTCCCCATCCCCCCTCTCTCCGCAAATAATCAAGGACTTCCCCACCTCTCCAGCACTCCACTGTCCAGCGAGTTTATACAGGCCTTCAAGTTGATCGCCTCTACCTCACAAAACGGTGACACTTACCAATAATCTGCTAATATTGGGAGAAGATCCTCGTCTTGGGAGGGCCCTTGAGAGAAAGAGACACAGATTTGTGAGTGAATAAAATCCACAAAACCGCAGAATCTCCCAGTGGACCGGTGCATGCGCAAGGTGATACTTAGCGGAAGGAAGGCCAACTTGGATGCAATATCGAGCCTACGGTGCATGGGGTCCGGGACTGCTAAAGTCGATGACACTCACGCCGTAAATAGAGCTTGAGCTAAATATAGACAGACACGTCTACACTCCCTCCGCCTGCGCAGCGGACGCTCTCGAAACAAACACGGCTTGGTCTCTATACACACTCTGAGGCCATGTTGGCCTATTCACTCCCTTCGGATGTCTCCCCCTCTACACTCGTCAATACTGCCTCTCTAATCCGCATCGTTGCTCTCGGCCTCATCTCTGCAGCAGCCATCTCTTCGCGTCTATTCGCGGTTGTCAACTTCGAGAGTATCATCCATGAATTGTAAGTCTGCTGACGTTCAGAGTAGCAATAAGCTAAGGCTCTATGCTTTAGCGATCCTTGGTTTAACTAGTGAGTCTTGCATGATTGTCTGCGGGGCGCGTAATGAACAGGCTATAGCCGGGCTACGAGAGTGCTTGCATCAAAGGGCTTCTATGTGCGTGACTACTCATTTCACGCTTGTAGCAGCTGCTTACCGCGACTGTAGGAATTCTGGAACTGGTTTGACCCTACAGCATGGTACCCCCTCGGTCGCGTTGTGGGCGGCACCATCTACCCCGGCTTGATGGCCACGAGCGGTGTAATCTACAACGTCCTGCATGCATTGAATCTCCCTGTCGACATTCGTAACATCTGTGTCCTGCTTGCCCCTGGCTTCAGTGCTCTGACTGCATGGGCTACTTACATGTGAGTGGGAGATGTCGCTACTGACAACGCAGCTGCTGAGGATACGCCCAGGTTCACTAAAGAGATGAAAGATGAATCGGCCGGACTCCTGGCTGCAGCGTTCATTGGCATTGTCCCAGGTTACATCTCCCGGTCCGTCGCCGGCTCGTACGACAACGAAGCCATCGCCATCTTCCTCCTCATGTTCACCTTCTTCGCGTGGATTAAGGCTCTGAAGACGGGCAGCGCGCTTTTCGGTACCATCGCTGCTCTGTTTTACTTCTACATGGTGGCTGCATGGGGTGGATACGCGTTCATCACGAACATGATCCCTCTGCACGCCTTCGTTTTGCTGCTCATGGGCCGCTACACTAGCCGCCTTTACGTAGCCTACTGCTCCTGGTACGCCATCGGTACGCTCGCGAGTATGCAGGTGCCCTTCGTTGGGTTCCAACCTGTGCGCACGAGTGAACATATGGCCGCCCTCGGTGCGTGCTGGTGATCTGCTGTTCTTGGTGTTGAGTTGGCTTACGATCCCGTTGCCAGGCATCTTCGGGCTGCTACAAATCGTTGCCTTTGCGCAGCTGATTCGGTCGCATGTCTCATCCAAGCAGTTCCAGGATCTGCTGTTTGTGTCGGTCATCAGCGCTGCTGTGCTGGGTATGGCCGCGATGGTCCTCCTGACCTACAAAGGGTGGATCGCACCCTGGACTGGCCGTTTTTACTCGCTCTGGGATACCGGCTACGCAAAGAAGTGAGTCTCAGCCCTTTCCCTCTCGGCGCAGTCTACCTTACCTCTTTCACCCAGATACATCCCGATCATCGCCTCCGTTTCCGAGCACCAGCCCACCGCCTGGCCGTCCTTCTTTATGGACCTGCACCTGCTCACCTTCCTCTTCCCCTTCGGCGTGGTCACGCTCTTCCGCCAGCTGCGCGACGAGCACGTCTTCGTGATTATCTATGCGGTGATGGGCACGTACTTTGCGGGCGTGATGGTGCGCCTGATGCTCACGCTCACGCCCTGCGTGTGCGTCGCCGCAGCCGTGGGCTTGAGTAACCTCGTGGACACCTATATGGACCCGCAGGAGCCGGACGTGGAAGATGAGACGGAGGATAGTAAGAAGACGAAGAAGGAGAAGGCGGCGGGCGCGCCGGGTACAGGTATAGGCGTGATCGACGATCTCGTGTCGACGCTCTCCGCCGCGGGCAGCGTGTCCTCGGAGAAGGAAACGAAGAGTAAGAAAGCGAAGACGGGCATATTCGGGCTCGACACGCGCATGGTCGTGCTGTTCAACACGGCGGGGATGCTCATGTTCTTCGTGCTGCACTGCACGTGGGTGACGGCGAACGCGTACTCGTCGCCGTCGGTCGTCCTGGCGTCGACGAATCCCGACGGGTCGCAGCATATCATTGATGATTTCCGCGAAGCGTATTATTGGCTGCGGATGAACACGAAGGAGGACGCCGTGGTTATGAGCTGGTGGGACTATGGGTACCAGATTGCGGGGATGGCGGACCGGGTGACCTTAGTGGACAACAACACCTGGAACAACAGTGAGTTGCTGTCTGGCGCAGCCAACATGGCAATTATTAATGCGGTTACACAGCGCACATCGCTACCGTCGGCAAAGCCATGTCCTCCCCCGAGGACGTCGCGTACCCGATTCTGCGCAAGCACGACGTGGACTACGTGCTCGTCATCTTCGGCGGGCTGATCGGGTACTCGGGCGACGACATCAATAAGTTCCTGTGGATGGTGCGCATCGCGCAGGGCGTGTGGCCGGACGAGATCCAGGAGCCGAACTACTTCACGCCGCAGGGCGAATACCGCGTCGACGACCAGGCAAGCAAGGCGATGCGCGAGAGCTTGATGTACAAGATGAGCTATTACCGGTTTGTGTTGTTTTTATGGTGGGAATGGGACGGTGCTGATGGGTGTTTGTTCTTGTGTAGGTTTGCGGAGCTGTTTGGTGGAGGACAGGTCGTTGATCGGGTGCGCCAGCAGTACCTGCCTAAGCAGTCGCCTACTCTCGATATCCTCGGTGAGTTCGATCGTGATTAATGCTGTGAGTTGTCCACTTACGTCCTGTCGCACAGACGAGGCTTTCACCTCAGAAAACTGGATCGTGAGTCCACTTGTACTTTTGTGCTATGTACTATCGTTAAGTGATCGCCTTCTGTGCAGGTCCGGATCTACCAAGTCAAGAAGGAGGACTCGTTAGGCCGGGACCTCAAAAGCGCGAATGCTTTCGCGGAGGGTAAGAAGAGGAAACGGAGCAAGCCGCCTGTTAAGCGGAGGGCTATTGCTTGAAAATCCTTTGTAGCTCCTAGATACCTATTTAATTGAATGTCTGACGCTGTTGACCTTGCCTTCGACCCTCGTTTATTCGATGTACGTTCCAGTCGAAGCAGGATATGTCAGTTGCGATCTCGGTAGACCGAGGAGACCCATGTCTTGCCATTCTGCTCTACTTGCTCGACAGTGAAGCGGGTCCTGAATTGACATGTAAATACTGAGCACAACGCGATGTACCGTCGTAGCCAGAATCGGTTCGATGACTGAACTTTCAGCAAAGGCCGCCAGTGCATGAGCGCTTGAGCAACCTTATGTTCATATGTTTCTAGTAGTGGGGAAACCGTCCTCCGCACAAGAGTATATCTAGAATGTAAGATATACAATTTGTGTTCGCTCTCACTGGGTACATCACCCATATTGAGCATGCACAAAACTTTGAAAATAACTGGTCAAAGGTCAAACTTTTTTCATGATTGTCCATTGCACAGTCAGTGAAACGAATTAGAATAATACTACTTTTGAGTGCGCAAAAATCTGATTGTGACACAGGATATGATCTTTGTTCAGCACTGTTCATTGAACTTTCATTTGTTTTGCAAGGCAACACTATGAACAAAATTTGACCTTTGTCCGGTTCCTTTCACACTTT